AATAGATATATACAACGCAATACATTATATAAGATAGGATAAATGTATAAGATGTATCCTGTTTTGTAATTACTGTTGACGACGAGGGCACCTTTACATGTTCCTCACTCGTACTCTAATAAAAGATCGTTTGCCTCACTGTTACTGTATTTGTATATTATTTCTGCACATTAAGTTCGTCAATTAAATGTGTTCTGCGAGAGTCACCTTTGAAAATTTGAGTCTTGTTTTCCTCTTAATCCTTACTTACACAAGCTTAGTCGATGCAGGAAGAACACAAGCTTAGTCGATGCCGGAAGAACACAAGCTTAGTCGATGCCGGAAGAACACAAGCCTAATCGGTGCCGGAAGAACACAAGCTTAGTCGATGCCGGAAGAACACAAGCCTAATCGGTGCCGGAAGAACACAAGCTTAGTCGATGCCGGAAGAACACAAGCCTAATCGGTGCCGGAAGAACACAAGCTTAGTCGATGCCGGAAGACTGATCGACAATGACACAGAGTTAACGATCCAACAACTTAGAAGCAACATATCCTACAATGCGGCGACCTGCTGGGTATCACCGATTCCCCGGATGACCGAAACTAAAATAATACACCTCTCATTCGCTGCTCGGTCACCCCCAGTCCACCCATCAGTACTAAGGGAAGTGAAGGAGAATCACACTGTGTCCTTGAGAAATAGAATCGAGGGAAATTCTCTAAACCGTCTCAGTGTACACTTAAGTGAGAGCCAAATACCGCGTGACGTCTATGAGATTTACTTTCACAGAATAATTGACGTTTAATTAATTCACTGTCTTCAAAACATACTTAATTCCACTGTTAAAACGTGACATATTGTTTATATCCATTATTTTCAAATCATTAATCACACGAGGCTATGGCCAAGTCAGTTTATTAGTTCAGCAAATAATCGTTTGGTTAAAAATGGTCTCGTCACAGTCTCCCACGACACCACTGGAGTGAAAACATTTAGTGCCACTATCACTAAAAGTCAAGGGCGACAACTAGTCTTCTTCTGAAACATAAGAAAACTCGTTCAGCAGGTCATAATAAGCTGTATTAGTCAGAAGTAGTTGCTCAATATATTGTAAATGGTGAACTTACTGAGCGGCGAGGCGTCCGTTTGACCTTAAAGTTTTATATGACGCACTTTAATTGACGGTCCACAATCTTTAATGTAAAGAATATATACAAGTCCATTACGATAATCAAGGCAATGCGACATTATTCTGTTAGATATAGTTAACATTATAATGTTATTGCGGCGCTTCAACAACTAAGATTTTGAAATATGAAACAAGATTAGTAAATTACAATATTAAAAATTATGATATAGAATACTATTCCCGTACTCATCTATTGTTTGCCTGCATATTCCCGTGTTGTTCTGCCCATACAGATATGACATAATTATGGTGGCATCACAATGATCACACACTCCTGGAGCAACTCCCCGGTTTTGCTGTTTATCAACCCACTCTTTGCAGCCTTTCGGCCCAACTATCACATCATACTCTCACTGACACCAACTGTAGGAACATCGAGGCTGACATAATCCATGAACAACTACGCTGGACTGGCCATGTTACCCGCATCCATGACAGTAGACTGCCAAAGCAGCTACTTTACAGTCACTTAACTAATGGTCAACGTAACGCTGGCGGGAAACGAAAAAGGTATATAATGCTAGTCTTAAGACAAACCTGAAAAAGGTGCCAAATCGACCCCCCTCACCTGGGAGACGATCACTCCACACCATAACCCTTGGAGGAGCACCACGCGAGGTGTCAATACTTTCGGGTTAGCCCGACTGCATACCAAGGCAGACAAACGCCAGCTCCGGAAATACGTTGCCGCCACCCCTCCTGCACTATATGTAGCCCTCCACACATGCAACATCTGTGGACGACCCTGCCAGTCTCATATCGGTCTCTCGAGCCACCTCAGAGTCAGAGCTCACCAACGAAGGTGATGTCACTAAAATCTCATTCTCGATTCCGAGTGACAGGAGTACACGGCCTTGTCTTTATTTTATCAACAATACCATGTGCCGGGCATGTTTCTGATAATGAAATGCCTAACACAAGTAACTGACAATTTCAACATTTTGATTACACATCAAATTCATTAACGGTAACAGTAATTCTAAATTCAACAATATTATAAGCTCAAAATATTCTACATTACAGTATTTAACTTTTCAATGTCACTCAATAAGACAGTATTGTGATAAGATTTTATTTCTATATGTTGTTTTATAAAACATAGTTAATGATAACTTTACCTGTGAAAGACAGTCAATTTTGCCAACATTATTCTACCAGATAATCATGTTACAAAAGTTTCCCATTAAATTTAGCGTGTTCATTTTCTCTGGAACTTGAGATGAAACAGAAAATTAATTTTATGGGTGACATTAAAAAAAATGGTTTACGCTGCACATTATTTCTAATGCCCACACACATACGGTCAGCATCAAGAAAATAAATAGCATATACCTAAGTTTTGTGGGTGTGAGGAAGGTGGGGGACGAGCGTCGGAGGCAAGTTAGGAAAAAAGTCTGATGGTATTATGGCAATAAGAGAACTGTTTAATTATTTTGTGTTGGGAGCCAATAATATAGTCTGGCCCACCTCAGCCGACTTGGATGGTGGGGATTGTGGCCCCTTGCCCCCCCCTCCCCTTTGGATTCGCCCGTGGTTTCGTTAGATGCAACATACGAGTGACAAAGATTATTCCTACACTATACCATCGCGATTATCCAAGTAGACTAAGGGCCTTTGAACTAATAACTCTTCAGACAAGACAAAACAGCGGATCTCATAAGACATTTAAAATTTTGAAAGGGATGGAAGACATAAACCCAGGTCAATTTTTCGTGTTGTCCTTCACCAACACAAAAGAACAACTTCAAGGTCACCTAATTGTCATGTAGGACGAATACAATGAAACACTTCTTCACGCAGAGGCTGTTGAACCAGTGGAACAGTCTACTAACACTGGCCTCCTCCACCCGCCATGGGCACCTCTAGGCGGTGTGGCCATCAGGTAAACAACGAACGGTAGGGAGGCAAGAACCCACAAATACCACTCATAGCAATAGCACATTGAAGGGATATACACACTATTAATGAAAAGTGTAAAAAAAGCAGTGAAGAGTAAAAACCAAATAAATTGTTATTACATCCATTGACCTAGTTGAAAGACTTAGGCATCACTGGGTTTAAGACTTCATCGATACTTGTCTACTATCTTGGCATTTATGCAGTCCTCGGATTCCTTGCATGTAACCTATCATAACCTAACTTACCTTATCATATTATAACTTTGTATAACCGGATACACAACGATATCGACAGAGAGAATCATCGACGGATCAGCCAAACTGGTACAACAGCATGATGGTTTGGCAAGTTAAGGGGGTGAAAGGAGCCATGTGAAGAATGATGAGGAATAACACCCAGAAAAAATATCGAGAGAGAGAGAGAATATGCCGTGTGCCTAAATTAATTATTTTCTAAGAAATTTATCCGATCGTCCCAGAAATGTATATAAGCTTGTCCACCCAGCACACACAGATATAAAAAATCACTTGCCCGACACCTATAGCCCAGGCACTGCGAATCTGCATATCCACAAACACCACCACCACTGTACCACACACCCACCACCACCACTGTACCACACACCCACCACCACCACTGTACCACACACCCACCACCACCACTGTACCACACACCCACCACTACCACTGTACCTCACCACCACCACCGCCACCACCACTGTACATCACACCCTCCATCATTACTGTACAGTTTTAATATTGTTTTACTTTGATTCCATAGTATTTATACTATTGCGAGTTTCCTTCTGTTGAATGTAAACAAACACAGGGCTGCCACACTGCACAAAACCTGACGAGCCCTGTAAACGCACTAGTGAAGGGGACTGTACCTCAACCACTATCATCGGCACCACAAGATAAGAGGCAGCGGTTTATCTATACACGTAACTTAAATAAAATATTATATAAAGGTGGTACAGTATTTGTAAGCACCCAATTAGCATAACATAATGCAGGAACTCGTACGTGCAGCTGAATTAAATTGATGCAAGACACATATACAAACTCACCTTACAATACACTATAATGAATATGTTGCAAAAGGCAAGAGACGAGCTGCGTGCCATACAAGTTGCATTATGTTGCACGCGTTAAACCGCCCTGGTGAGCACAATTCACTCATCTGCTTATGGTGTAGTGGGGTTACCATGTTGCAGGAGGCACAAGGTATCCAGGAACTACGATAAATTATACAAGTTACGAAACAATCTCGCCAAACCCCCGAGGCTCAAGTTTAAAGGAAAAGTTATGGCATATGATGAAAATAACAAAAAAATATAATAAAAAAAAACTAGTGTAATTTGTGGAGAAGCGAGGACAGGTCGGGCTAGCCATGGGTTGGGTTTTGCATCGTAGCGCCTCGGGCTTAATGGAGGACCAAAGGCCGGGGCCAGAGGGCGGTTATTAGACAATCATTTCCTTATAAGCGCCTTCCTCCCCCTCCTATATGTCACTCCCGCATCAGTCAACCCGCGATGCTGGCATCCCACACACACATACACACACAGTTATCCACACGCACATCACCGTACATACTACTAATCTTTTACGTAAGTAAGCAACTTACAAGCAAGTGCACACACACACACACACACACACACACACACACACGCACCTAGAGAAGCATGTCTTGAATACAAATATACACTTAACATACGTAATTATCTCTTCTCAGTCTCATTAAAAAAAATTATCAAAATAAGTGTTGTTAAGTAGGGGAAAAGCGGCCTATGACCTCGAGTTTGTATCTAGGCGAGGCTGGCCAGGCAGCATGATGGTCGGGAACAGCGGGTGACGTATTACCCATTACAGTATGGATGACCCTCACCCCGTGTTGTGTTAGTGACGTCTCTGCTCATCTGTGCACTGTTCTGCTGTGACATGGAGTTACTACAGAGTTTTCTATTGTTCGACGCGCAGCATTGTTTGTGTAACAGTCATCTTTGGAGTATGCAATATTCCGCCATATGGTCTCTATGTTTAATGTTGTATGGAGTGCTCTACCGAATATGAGGTGTTCTGGTGATGCTATACAAAATACCCTGCTTTAATATATTCAGTGCTGTGCTATGCTGCATACATTATACGCAGCTTGTATCATACGAAATATATACATTGAAGCACCAGTTTATCAGTTATGAGAAGATGTTTTTATTACATTAATCATATAAAAACTGACAAGACCAGAACTGAAGCTGACTGCCTAGCAATGAATCCGTGAGAAACTCCCACCATGGCTGGCCGGGACAGAGGCAGCGCTCAATTGATGTTTAGAGGGTGAAGCACTGCGACGCTTCACCACTCTAAACATTCTGAAAGGTAAGGTAAATAATGTAAACACACACACATATTACCGGTAATATATATATATATATATATATATATATGTATATATATATATCAGCCCAGTTCTGGCGACTTAACGAGTAAACAGAAACATAAATTTTTACAAACATGTTAAGGAATACACTGTTTAATAATAAAAAAATTCAATTAGACATGTATGAAGTCTATGTACTGCAATAAATAAATTTGTATACTAAGGGGCATTCAGGGATTACGTAGTTGTGCACATAGCAAACTAAACTGAATTAAATATATTTATTATTTATCCAAAACTGATGAACTCAATCTAACTACTGTATATCTTAATATACCTTAAGAGCCTATAAATTATGTAGCATTTTGTTATTTAAGCCTTTAAGGATATTTTAATTCTTTAAGGCTAATAGTTTAAGATTCGATTCTCTACATAGAATTAAGTGTGGTATAACCTTTAATGCACAGGTATTTATAAAATTATTATAATTTGCTACATATCTGTGATGACAAATTTGAGATACCTTGCATCACTACGCATTACTTATAGATGTGTACTGTACTGTACTGTACCACGATTTTGAAGAATGGCATGTGAAAAATCTACACCATCAAATATCATGCCACTTAAACCGAAGGAATTTTACAGTACCTGCATTATATGTAAAAATACAGCATCACTAAATTTTGATGGCAAAAAATAATGAATTAATGAATTAAATAAAACTTACCCGAAATTACTAGTATGGCACCAGACTCGCTTCAACTACTAAGGTCTTTCCGCGTTCGTCAATTTTCTCTAAGAAGCGTTGTGGTGTTGTATGCCTTCCTCTTCAATGTTCTTTTTCTTTTTTATGTATGTATCGTCTCTGGGGTCCCACAGGAAACAATAATTTTTTATATTCTATCACAATTTCTTCGGACAGGCGTGCCCACAGAGGAATAAATACAGATGCCATGAACAGACCGCTCAAACGGTTCATAACAGATGTCTTTACGAATATCTACACCAATAAAAAAAAACTACTTGAGCAGTTTATTAAAAATGCGATACTGATTAATGTTAATTTCAATTTAGTTATATCACGTGGTTCGATATTTATTTTATATAAATATCCTCATTATCCAGTAAAGTATAAATCTTGACTTGACCACGGAAATTAGTGCAAGCCAATCAGTGACATTTTACTGTTGTCTGCTCACCCAAAACTCTTCACTGCAGCATTATGTTTACAGGTATTTATAAACTGAACTTGTTGATATTGTTTTAAAAATATGATTCAACGATAAATTTCATGTTTTATTAACTTAAGCATTTTAACAACGTCTTAATAAGGAATTCATTGATTCTGCATGCGTTCGATCATTTCTTGACATAATTGTCACATCATCTTCAGAATCATAGAGAATATTAATATGCGATCTGAGATTAATCTCGGGGCATAGTGGTGAGGAACAGGCTAAGAGAATGACAATTTGTCAATTCTTTTGAATGAAATACGAATTCTAATTTCAAAAGCAATGAACTTTTTTTTTTTATTGGGCACTCCCCTACGTCCTTGTGTAAGGTGAAGTTCATAAGCGTTTACAGCGCCCAACAGGGAAGCATGCTAAGTTCATGCTTGCCCTATGTCTCATGAGTTAAGGGCGTAGAGGCCTGAAGAGTCAATGGTTTATGTCTAAGCAAGTTATTGGAAGCTCCAACAACGTGTCCCTGAATACAAATTCGCAACTTTCGACTGACAGCAGGTACCTACTTTGCTGCTAGGTGAACAGGGACCAAGGGGACTAGGAAGAGTGTCCACTAACTTCCGCCGGCCCGGGAATCGAACCCGTTATACGGTATACCGTACAACGATATAACGAGAAAAGTTGGTGGCCAAAATTCGGAGGGAAACATTACACTAGACTACCGTAACAATGCTCGAGTATGCAGCGATAACTTTGTTGCCGCTGAGGGACCTTTCCATATACTTATCCATTAAAGTTTTTTAGTGTAAGGATTTTTAGTTATAAGTGTTCCATCCTCACACAAACCTTCGCTAGCCGTTTGATCTGGTAGTGATCTTTAGAGTCCAATGTTAATGATGTGAGTTTTACTAAAGTTACAAGTTTTTCTGTTTTCCAGGAAAGCCATCCACATGATACCGAAAGTCCTGCTGAGATCCTTCAAGGCGACTGGGCTACGAATACACGGGAATGAGTCTGGGAGGACGATGTGAACATGTCTTTTAAATTGCCTAAATGGGCTAGAGGAGCTTGTCTCGAATTACCTCACAGTTTATACCACACACCAGACAGATAACTTACGTAACCTGGCCACAAAGTTAGATACATTATTTGGTCAGCTTAGTGGAGATAGTCCATTAACCCGTCCTGAATAAAAACGTCTGGCGTTACCAAATATGATATAAGAGGCGTCCCCAAAATGACGGGTTTGAGGAGATAACCTATTAAAACAAGTATTGGACCCATATCGAGCAACAAAACAAGAAGGCTTTGGATGATAATGATTCTCCAACTTCACAAGAAAATCATCAAGAGACAAATCCTTGGGCTTATTAGGGACGCAAAGCGAGCAAAGAGTTCTGTCCGTGGCGGTCCCGACTGACGTCAGTAACACCGTCCACATCTTATTAGGAAGGAAATACTGCTCCAGGCGCTCGCAGTACTCCCCCTCCCCTTCTCCCCCACGCTCATGTCACTTTCGTCGAACTCCTCTCTATAGGCGACCAGAGTATCCTCCTCGCTAGTGTTGTAATGTCAGCCCATCTCAGGTGCAACAGTAATAACTCGAGGGTTGCCGTAAATAATGTAATGCAAGTTGATTATACAAAGGCTGCTCAGCTGAATCTGGTGGCCGAGGCCGAGACTGTGAGAATTGTCGCTACATATATATTGGGCATAGAAAGAAGGGTAGCTCCCTAGCGCCACCCTTGCATGACAGTATAATCTCGTCAGTGCCATCTAGAAATAATTTGACTATACAGTACTATAGTTACTTTTAAGAGAATCTCTGCTTTGCACCAACTTCCATCGCCTACAAGATCCGGCCATATAGTTTTTATACACACAATCCACGGAGTCGGGGCATATCAGACAATATCTGCGAATGGTTAACCTGAAGTGATCATACAAAACAAAATACAATATAATCGTGTTTTAGAAGGTCACGTGAGAAGTCTGATTATCGTAAAAAAAAAATATCTATATATATATATATATATATATATATATATATATATATATATATATATATATATATATATATATATATATATATATATATATATATATATATATATATGCTAAATCACTGTAGGTGCGCGTGATCTAGGTATATGCTGATAACCACAAGGAAAGAAGAAAACACGAAGTTCCCAAGCGCTTTCGTGTAATTCACATCTTCAGGGGTGAGTACAGACTAAAGAGAAGTACAAAACAAGGTGTATATATACAGAGGGTGAGTGGACCTCCAGTGTTTTGTACTTCTCTTTAGTCTGTACTCACCCCTGAAGATATTACACGAAAGCGCTAACTTCGTGTTTTCTTCTTTCCTTGTGGTTATCAGCATATATATATATATATATATATATATATATATATATATATATATATATATATATATATATATATATATATATATATATATATATATATATATATATATATATATATATATATATAAAATCAACGTGGTTGCAGTGAAGTGAATTTTACCTTGGTCTTCATAAGTCGTTTTTCTTCAAATTCCTTCACCAGAACCCTCCTTACCCATGCAATGGCAAACTTCTCATAACAGTTAAGACTTTTGTGGTGAATTCCCTGTTCCTTAGAGCACGGGCCTTGGGGAAATAACAAGTATAGTACATGCCAACATGGATGTACTCGATCGATGGCCATTTGTTTATGTCATCTGGTCACTCGTTTCTTGGAATTTCGTATGGATCGCAACGGCGGATAGGCAGCAATGCTTTACTACGGCATGAAGACAGTGCAAGGAGTCTATAGTATGTCTTATAGCGTCTTATGTTTAAAGTAATCAGCATGAAAATGGAATGAGCATAAACAAGCATATAATTATCATAGCCTCTTATTTAACACTCAACCACCGTTATACCATCGAAGGCTTTGAGACCCACTTTATCCCTTACTCTTCTTTAATACATCTAATGATCTCTTAATACATCCTTTTCTCTCTCATAAACTTCTTGCACCTTTCGTCACACCGTAACTCATCCGGGGCATTAGTTTAGATTAGCTGGTGTTGTTAAAGCAGTCATTGCTGCAGCTTACACACATAGTCGTGGGTCAACAAGCATTGTGATGAAAAAAACTGCAAGTTCCAAGAATCCTGTGATACGTGACGTCTTATAACTCGAAGTAATGTGAAACTACCAAAATTCCAGGAATATCAAAGGATGTGGCTGGGGAAACGTGGAGAGCACAGCGTTTTAAGTCCATCAAGGAAAATTTTTTAAATCTGACCAATATCATGAGCATTTTGAGGCCATGTGCACTTGATATTAGGAGATATTCTGAGATCAATAGTAATTACATTTTGCTATTAAAAAACGCCTCAGTATAATACAGCATTAAAGAAAAAAAGTCTTGGAATTTTCTGATGAAAAGGGCCCCAGGACCCCCTTCTGGATCCGCCCCTGGATTCTATAATACTTACATATATACTAATGTTACTGTTATCAATTTAGTGTTTCCTATTAGGTATTGTGTTGTGTTAGTAATATAACAGTATGGTGGTGTACTTATGCCAGGCCTCCAGGTGAGCAGAGATAGAGCAAGAGAGCAAGACAGGGTACAATTATCAACAACAGCAGTACGTGGCGCTCCCCTCGTTCGCCGAGTATGTCTGTTCGTACGTACACTCACGACTAAGATCAGGCCGTCTGAATGAACTGGTTTGCCATTGGTCGGCTGGTATGGAGGAGTACCAATCCGGTTTGTGAGGGGCATTCTGAGAACCAATCCCAGTTGAGGGAGAGTTGTCAAGAGTATATAAATAAGAGGAATTGAAGTAGACACGTCAGTTGACTTGCAAGGTTGGTTATCGACATCCATTGATCTGGAGAGGTGAACATCGGAACTTATCATGAGTGGACAAGCTGCACCTCATATTCTCCGTCCTTCCGGTGAGTCAGGACCACCATCCAACACACACAGCAGCGATACAGAACACTCTATTTTGGCACTGTGTTGATGATACGACACATGAACTGGCTTAAGTTAGATAGAGTTAGTTAGGATTAATGTTAAATGTGATGCATAAATTAGCTGCAACACTTATTCCGTAACTCATGTACAGTGTCGCTTATCCTTCAAATTTCTCCTCCCCCTCCCGTCCACTTCCTGCTAACAGACATTACGCCCCTTCTTCCTGTTTACTCCTATCCTTCCTCCCTCTTTCTATTCTCTTCTATCCTGCTGAGTAAACACGTACCATCATAGACTTCAAGTTCCGGGGGTTCGACTTCCAAGCTAGGGCAGTGTTTACCTCGCCTGCTTCGCTACATCCAAGTGTTCATGAATATCAATTTTTGTCGGAAGTTTAACCGCTGGTCTTCAGTCGGACTGGTTCACTGTGTGTTAAGGGTGCATGTGGGTGCCTGATCCCCCTTGCCTGCTTCTCACTTTGTCTTTAACCTTCTGTTGTTTCCATCTTCTTATTTATGTCCATCCTGTCTTCCCTTCCTCTTTATCCTTCCACTGCTTCCATCTTTTTGTTTGTATCCATCCTATCTCCCCTCTTATTGTTTTTCTACTTCACTCCTCATCCTGTTTATGATCTCATCTATCCTCTCCCTTATTTGTTTACTCCTTCCCCTAACCTCTACCCTTTTCTGCTTTACCTTGTTTTATCCCCTCAATCTTATTTACACTTTACTCCATCCTCCCATCGCATTTCTTCTCTTCCCTTTATCTCATTCCTGTCTTCATTACGCCTCTTTTCCCTTTAATTTTACCTTATCCCTGTTTGCGTGCTATCTTCCCCCCTCCTTGTTTGCATTCCTCGTTACCTCACCCTTTCTGTTTACACCCCCCAAACCGCCTCTCTTTCTGTTTACACGCCTTTTACCGCCCCTCTTCCTGTTTACACGCCGTATACCGCCCCTCTTCCTGTTTATACCTTTCCCTTCCTGTTTACACCCTTCATTCCCTCTCTGTTTCCAACTCTCTTGCCCTCCACCTCTTGGACGCCACCATTCCCCTCTTTATACACCATATATCCTCCTCTTGTATACACCACTCTTACTTTCCCCTCTTAAAAATATCTATTGTCTAAGTATTGATATTTCTTGTAACACCTACTATATTTACAGTACCTGCTTTTATTGTACCATCAAAACCGTTTTATCGGAAATTATCATGATAAGTAATTACCATTGCAATAAACATAATTGCAAGCTAAACATAATCCTGACAGCTCTGTCCTCTTGTTCAACCTCAATACTGTTCAACCCATGTTGTACTGCTCCCTTATTATACTTATGTTTTTCAATGACACTGTAATTTGTGTATATAGTACTTATAATACAAATAAAAAAATTAACTAAAAAAATATATTAATAGAATAAATAAATATTGAAGTGATAACCGTGGTAACATTATGAGATGTTCTTATTACCACCATGCTATTATACTATTCCAGATGTTTCTAAATATTACATAATACTTCCTTGAAATTGTCATGGGTTGCAACCAACTCCAAAGTTTGTTTTACTAGAGTTAAGGCACCCGGTGAGGCATAACTGGAACATACCTGTATATTTTCCATTAGTGGTATGTTAGCCAGTCTTTAGGGGGAGGCCAGTGAGACAGTGTTGTACTGTTCATCGCATCACACCCCAAAACCTCATTTTCAGTAGTATCCCCTTGGCCATGGGTTAGCCAAGACGTCCCCATCTTCTCCCTCATGAAGGGAGCGGGACACCACACAGAGTCCTCCACCGCCACTCCGTCCTGTGGACCGTCGTCGATATGAGATTAAGAGTGTTAAACTAGGTTGTTATCCCTGTAGAAATATCACGTGTGGATACCTGGTTGCAACAAGAGCAATCCAGGCTGGCCTATCAAGCCTACAGTAAATGGTTAATCAATTCACGCTTAGAGTTCTCCTGCACGGCACCCGTCTACAGTGACCTTGATCGACACGAGACTAAGCGTGTTAACCTAGGTTTGTTATCCCTGTGGAAATAGCACGTGTGGAAGCCTGGTTGCGACAAAAGCAATCCAGGCTGGTCTATTGCACCTAAGTGGTTAATTCACGTCACCCTTACCAGTTCTCCTTGCCGCGACAACCGTCTACAGTGACTGTCAGTGACGCAAGACTATGTGTGGTAACCCAAGAGTACTCTTTGTTGTTATTCCCCGTGAAAGTTCTTGTGATGAAGCCTGGTTGCAACAAAAGCAATCCTGGCTGGCAGTAAATCTATCACTTGAAGAATTAAGGCTCTGTTAAGTCATACATATAGTACATTAATAACGTGCCCCCAGGTTGAAAATTCCCTCTTTTAGAAGATTAATTTTATTACAGTGTAAACGGGGAGCTGGTGGTAGAGTGGTACTGTTCTTTCGTTGCAGGCAAGATTTCACGGGTTCGATTCCCGGGCTGGCGGAAGTTGTTTGGACACTCTTCTTAGTCCCCTTCGTCCCTGTTCTCCTAGCAGCAAAGTAGGTGCCTGCTGTAAATCGAAAGTTGCGAATTCGTATTCAAGGACAAGTTGTTGGAACTTCCAATAACTTGCTTAGACATAAACCATTGACTCTTCAGGCTTCTACGCCCTCGACTCTTCAGGCTTCTACGCCCTTAACTTATGAGACATAAGGCAAGCATGAACTTAGCATGCTTCCCTGTTGGGCGCCTGTAAACGCTTATGAACTTCACCTTACACAAGGATGTAGGGGAGTGCCCAATAAATGAAAAAAACATTTCAGCGTGAATGTGAGTGACTCATATATCCATGCAAATTGTAAATCACTGTATGGAAGCTTGACAAATATAAGTGCAATTATCTGTCCGTATCTGTGATCCTATCTTATTATTACTAAAGATAATGACTGATTGGTTATGACAAGTATAACCAATAACTTAGAGGGATGTTGGAAATTAATGGAATTCATTAAATCATCATTTATCTAATATAAATCGTGGAATGTCGAGTGGTGGAGTGAACTTCTACGTAGATACACCATAATCTCCTGTAAGTAACCAGTGTGAAGGTATCGAATCCTACGGTAAGAAATACGAAACACAACATATTATAGTCTTTATATAATATAATCTACTCCTACTACCACCGATATACCAAAAACCATGACAGAGATAAATGTATAGTATATAATTATCAGGTGCCTAAAAGATAGCTCAGGTTCTCAACTGGCTCAGCCATGTTAATATTGTTATTATTATCCACTCTGTATCTGTGTTTTTCTGGCTAAATAAACTGTTTCAATTCAATTCGGCAGGGATGATAGTGGTGATGGTAGCGGTGCTGGTGGGGGTGACGTCATCAGGCAAGGGACAACACGACCGTTGTGCCGCCACTCGCTACCGCCCAGACGCTCCTCTGGCAACCGGTAAGTCCACAACAAATCCCTTTACCAACATTAAAGAAATTAGCTTTTTAAATGTTCATTATTATTAAAACGCAAACCATTTTAAGGTACAAAAACAAAAATATACCGTAATTGCTGACAATCTGATACTCGTAATATCAATTAACATCTTGTTAACAATAATTACTGTCAAGAGTCAAGACTGTTACACAAATGTTGCCATTTCTCATGTTTATTTTCCCGTAAACCTTCTTCCGTCTTAGTCTTTGGGTAACCCTTTTGTATACTGTAATTTCAATTTTATAATAAACTTGTTCATTCCTAACTCTTTATTAGTTCACTTACTCACTTAAAGCGGCCTCCGCAAGATCCCATTAACTTTGTCCTAGACATGTTCGCAAAAGATCATCAAGTTAAACTAATAGAATAGAGAACTGAAATTTGAAATATACTGACTAGTATTATAAAAACAAAAATATCACTATGGTGTGGGGTACCTGATGTTTGGTTCACACTCAGGATGGGATGGAGAATGGAAACTCACAATGTGCTCTCTGTATACATGTTGTATTGGATGTATAATGCAGCTTGGTGCTGGGAAGGCAGCATGGTTACAAGCGTGATGTAGAGAGAGCTGGTTGGTGAGGATGCTCAGAGGAGGACCAGCTTGTGGGTCGCCATGCTCGCCGGCGGGAGCGAGGGCCGCCAGGCAGGAGGAGGAGGTGTTGCTTGCTGGTTGGTGTAGGTAGAAAAGAGAGTGGTCACCACGAGGTCTTATATAGCGGAGGTAGGCGTGGCTTAATAGTTGACCTCCGTGATGTATGGCGGCGCTGGTTGACCTAGACCACGAGGCATACACTGGGGAATTCGCGGGGTCGGCTACTCAGCGACAAACAGCGTTTGTAGGGGAGGTATCCACTACAATGGCAAAAGGCCTATTGTTGAAAATATAAATTACTGCATTTTTCTTGTTATTTACATAATGAACATCAAGCATGTGATTGTGTTTTATCTTAATCATAGTCTGCTCATCACAAATCTAGAAAAGAGCGAAATTGTTGACCAACACTGGCGCAGGTACAGACGCACGATACATTCTGGGCCAGTTCCTGACCTGCCCAGTACCATGGTCAGTATACACCTCGGCCAGCGGGCAGGTCCACCCCCACACTAGTTAGTTCTATGACGTCACCGGGGCTAAAACCTGGCTGTTTTGGGAAAGTACAGCGTTTTTCTTGGTTACTCTGTTAACAAGCCCACTCTGGAGGATATTATTCACTGTTTTTAATCACCACCAACAACTCCACCATCACTATAATAGATACGTTAGTCATCACCAATATTTAAATACAATTAGTATTATAGGTAAATACTTATAGTTGGTGTCCTCACAAGTGGTATCACATACTTTTTACTTTTATCCTCTCGCCACTGATCGGCTTGTTAGCCGCTTGGGCGATCGGTCACGACTCTTTTCCTTTATATTCTTCACCAAAAGGTCGGCTCGCTAGCCGCCCGGGCGATCGGTCACGTCTCTGTCACGCACTGTTGGCAAATACTGGGCATGCACCGGCTCCTGAATGTACCTGAACCCGCTCCAGTGTTGGTCAAGTCTTCTCTTGAAAGAGCTCACACTCGGTGCCGTCACAACACTTTCTGGTAGATTGTTCCAAGAGTTTACAACCCTCACTCCGAAAAAGTTTGCCCTCACGGTTTTCCGGACTTGCGGCTTCTTCAATCTTGAGCTGTGACCCCTTGTGGGGCGAGCGTCCGCCAGCTCCAAGTAAGGACACTCAACTGAGTAGTGCCCCCTGAGATGCTTATAAACCTCAACTAGGTCCCCCCTTGCCCGTCTGTAGTATAAGCTAGGCAAGTTCAGGCGCTCCAATCTCGCAGGGTAGCTGAGATGCCGAAGTGCAGGCACCAGCTTGGTGGCCCTCCTTTGAACATTTTCAACCAACTGACAGTCCCTAGCATATCTCGGGGACCAGATGGGGTGACAGTACTCCAGATGGGGAAGCACTTCACTCCTGAAGATCGTCACGAGGGACGGACCGTCTAGATATCTGAACGACCTTCTTATTATTATTATGTAATAGAAGAGCAATTATGAACACTATTCACAGGAGATGACTGGCTGTGAAAATACCTCACTATTACTTGTACATCGACTTACCTCCTGGGTTAAATCTACTTAGAAATCAAAGGGATTAAACCTTAGGGCTGCAGCTTGCTTGACTGCTTTGCCTGGTACTCATGTGTGGTTTTCTCCAATGTGGTCACACACACACCACTCCTATGTCAGAGGTCAGTGGTCTGAGTATAAACACTATATCTGAAAAAAAAATAAACATCTACTTTACCCTACAAATCCCACAGCGTAACCGAGGGTTTAGCACCAGGCGCCAGTTTTACACACAGCAGGCTGGCCACAGACAACACTTTTTAAACGACAATAGTGATTTTGTGTAACTCAGCTAACTGTTTTATTTGCGCTGTTTTAATAGGAAATTAAAGACAGCAGGTTCAGATGTTCGCTACTTTAGATTCCCAGAGTAACACACTTCGGAAAACTGTGGAAAAATTCCAGTCGCCATCCTGATCAAGTGAATCCAGCGACTGCTGTTATCTGTTCCGTCCACTTTACTAAACACGGCTACATTGATGATAATTATGAAGCTTCGTTTGCTTGGAATTGACAGTCCTATAAGAACAAGGCTCCTGAAGAAGGTTACTGTACTGCCTATCTAATAATAATATTAATAATAATTAACGGTTTATTGAAAAAATTCTGCAGCCCGAAGGCTGAAAATATACATTGGACATAAATGACTTATTACATACATTGGTGGCTTAACAAAAGCCTTCATTAGAGAAAGGTAAAGGAACATACAGTGAACATACAGATTAATGTAGGTGTTGAACAGCAAACTCGTAGTGTAGTAACTCCCTCCCAGATGGTGTTAGGAGGAACTCACGTGGTGTAGTAGTTCCCTCAGATGTGTTATGAGGGACCTGGCGTGGTGTAGTAATTCCCTCGCAGATGGTGTTATGAGGGGCCTCACGTGGTGTAGTAATTCCCTCACAGATGGTGTTATGAGGGACCTCACGTGGTGTAGTAATTACCTCACAGATGGTGTTATGAGGGGCCTCACGTGGTGTAGTAACTCCCTCACAGATGGTGTTATGAGGGGCATCACGTGGTGTAGTAATTTCCTCACAGATGGTGTTATGAGGGGCCTGACGTGGTGTAGTAATTCCCTCACATTTGGTGTTATGAGGGACATGTGGTGTAGTAATTCCCTCACATATGGTGTTATGAGGGACATGTGGTGTAGTAATTCCCTCACATATGGTGTTATGAGGGACATGTGGTGTAGTAATTCCCTCACAGATGGTGTTATATGAGTGAGGTTTGGTCCCAGGCCTTCCTATCGTAGACGGATAAACACATCGCTGGTTGTTGTTGGGTCTCACGGGCCGTTATCACTGGGTACCTGGGACCTCACTGTGTGAAGGTTAACTTGGGTACGACTGTTACTGTTGAGTTTTTCTCACTGACTTAAGCACTGTTCACCACTGTTCACCTCTGTTTAACACTGGTTCCGTTCCTTTCCTAAATGAAATTGTAACTTCTGGCGAGAACTTGTTGATATTCCGGTGGGGAGGAGGGTTCAGGGGAGGGGGTTGGTATGGGCCAACTTAACAGTTGACCTGGCTGCTCCGAGAGGAGCGCCAGGTACGTCTTGACCCTTCGGTGGTCAAGGATGTATAATGGTAGGTGTTATTTGAATACCGCATGAAGCAATTATATTTATTTTTCTTCTTCGTGGCAATTTAACCATGGTAGGTCTGAGTGGCTATGCTGTTTAAATATGATATATTTTGAACAATACCATGGAGTATTATCGCGAGCATCGTTATAAAAAATGGGAACGAATTAGTTATAAATAAAAATACAATTGTAATGTATAGTGTGACGATGTTAGACATCTGAAACATGTAAAAATATAACATTCAGGATCTTGAAAAAGAAGTCAGTGAAGTAAATGTAAAGAAGGAAAAATTACTGCTGTATAAACTGACATGTGTAAGTGACATCCAGTCATTCACAGTCTCACGGGCAAGCACGCAAGGTAGTACATAGACCTTGCTTGCAGTGTTAGTACTGAACTAGAGTACAGTATTTGGGTCGTAATTTGACCATGCCTAGTACTTAACTTAAATTTGAGAAAAAAAGCTGCTGAAAGGTTTTTTATGGCAAAGACTATTGCATGAGTCAGATGCGTGGACACTTTCAGCACACACCAGAAAGAGGTTAGAGGCCTTTGAAGTGTGTTATAGGCAAATGCTAAGAATAAGCTACACGGACAAGAAAACAAATGAAGACTTACTTAGATTAGCAAAAAATTGAAAAATTCCAATATAACTGAGAGGTGAGACCATCAGCGATACCGTACAGCTGATGGTCTCACACTTCTTCAGCCGTGGCTATATTTAGATTCGTGACGTCACCAAGGATGTCACCGAGTCACGTGATCGAAAAACCTGTACATTTCAAGTGGGATTCTGGAAAACCGCGCCGGAAGGAAATTTTAATTTTTGTGTAAGGACAAGCGAATGGATCGGGCATTGTATGATGAAAAACTAAAAAACGCTGTTGTTTACTTCGACCCCTATACATTAAGCAAGCAGAAAATGTGCTCAGATATAGAGGCGTATCCAACGATAACCTACCCAGACGTCTACAACTTCCTTTGTTGGCTTAAATCTGAAGCTAACAACATTAATACATGATATTATTAGTCAAATAAAAAATCAGTGGATAGCTAGATTGAAATTGCACTCAAATTTTCTAATTAATGTTCATAATTTCACAATTACTCCTTGTAGAGGGTTTATTAATTCTATTTGGTAGTTTGTTTTTAAGTTTCAAGAAGAATTGGAGTAATTAGAGCCATTTTAGCTTACACTTCTTACCTAACTGTTCACAAACTGGTTGCAGAATATAAATTCGTGTTTTCAGTGATGCAGCCACTATGACCAGTTAAGTAATGTCTGTAGGTTTGCTTGGCTTAGCTATGCTGTAAATAAAGTAGATCAAAGAAAACTCTCCAGTCCTTACTTAACCGACCACGATTGCATCATGATATTTCAATGTTTACTTTCAGTGATGATGAAATTACAGTATGTGCATTTACTTAAGGTCTGTCGGTTTAAGTGTTTCAGTGTCCCGTGGACCCTTTCTGAAATTTACAGAACCTCAAGAATGCATTTCTAAATGTCATAACCAAACCCTTTATACTTTAATTGAGAAATTCCCCACAGTAGTTAGAAAAATACAGCACAAAACTAAATTACCTGTACACCATTATCCTTTACCCGTATCAAAATAAAATACATAGTACCCAGGCACTGAGACCTTTTAGGATCAGTTTTGCCTTTAAATATACTGTACACTGCACTTATTGTATTCAGAGTACCATACTCAGATCATAACTTCTGCACTATATACTGAAGATTACCTTTTGTCCAAAGAGCACAAAATATACAGTAATGGCATGTTGCAAACTCTCCTTGTTCTGCATGGAAGTAAGCTTTAACTATTTTTTTCTAGTTTAGCCTAAATTAACAAATTAGTTTTTTCTTTTTCTTTTTGCTTTGTCATTATGTTTGTCAAGGTTAGGTCAGATTATGCCGAACTTAGGTCCTAATAAGGTGCCACTATTTTGTCAATGTTACTCCCACAGCGTCATATAAAGCGGTTTAGCCATATTAAGATTGTTAATGGGGGCTACGACTCTCGTATCCTCTTACTGTAAAAGGAACTTACCTTAACATTATGTTCGCGTGTTGCACTGAAACAAATAAAGTTGGTTGAATGTCACTTCTTGCCACATTTTCGATACTTTCACGTCCTTCCAGTAAGTCCACAATCACATATTAAGTCTTTAACACGATCTTGATCCTCAACAAGCAGATATAACTTGTGAAAACGTGTGGGTTTTCCAGTAGACAACGCCATACATGAAGTGTAAGTAATAAGAGTTCAGAGGTCTTATTGTAACTATATCTTGCGCTAGTCAGGCCGCACCTCGATTATGCGGTTCAGTTCTGGTGCCCCTATTATAGAATGGATATCAATTCACTAGAGTCGGTGCAGCGAAGAATGACGAAAATGATTCCGGGACTTAGAAACCTTCCATACCAGGATAGGTTAAAGAAACTTAACTTGCATTCCCTAGAAAGACGAAGAGTGCGGGGAGATATGATAGAAGTATTTAAGTGGGTGAAAGGAATCAATAAAGGGGATATAGATAAAGTTCTTATAATATCCGAGCAGGATAGGACTCGGAACAACGGATTTAAGTTGGATAAGTTTAGGTTTAGGAGGGAAATAGGAAGGAACTGGTTTACAAATAGGGTGGTGGACGAGTGGAACAAGCTTAGCAACTTTGTAGTAAGTGCTGGAACGCTGGAAAGTTTCAAAAGGAGGCTAGATAGATTCATGGATGATAGAGAGTGGTAGTAACTCTCGACAGGAGCTGCCATGCACAGGCCAACCGGCCTATTGCAGACTCCTTATTTTCTTATGAACAATGCGCCTCCTTCTGTTAGAACAATAACAATAGGAACATACTTTTACTTTTTACTTTTATCCTCTTCACCATTGATCGGCTCGTTAGCCGCTTGGGCGCTTGGTCACGTCTCTGTTACTTTTCTTTTTATTTTATCCTCTTCACCAAATGATCGGCTCGTTAGCCGCTTGGGCGATCGTTCATGTCTCTGTTACAACTCCAAATTCAATTTCAACCATATGATTCTCATTCTGTGTTCATAGAAGAGGTTTGGGAACCTATTACGCAATAAGGAAAAAATATGATTTTACAAACCCTCGATCAGATCCTTCATCATTTCTTGTACTGTTCATGTTGACAAGATTGGATTCACTCGTATATCTTATGAGTGGACCAACACGATGGACACAACCAAGGTTAAATACCTTGGTTGCAACTAGAGATGTGATGCCACCGTTTTCTTACGGTAAATAATTTATTATATCGCTTACAAGGTACTTACTTAGAGACGGTAAATTACAGACAACAGTTTTGTGCAGTGTTTTACCCTGTAATTTCCCTCCTTTTTCATGCCCTGCCCACTACACTTTTTCTTGACTTTTATCTTCTTCATCTGATCGATTCATGAGCCGCTTGGGCTGCCGATCACATCTCTGTTACACACTGTTGGCAAGTACTGGCCCCTGAATGTACCTGAACCTGCTCTGGTGTTGGTCAAGTCTGGTCTTGAAATAGTTCACACTCGGTGCCGTCACAACACTCTCTGGAAGATTGTTCCAGGAGTTCACAGTTCTCACTCTGAAAAAGTTTACCCTCAGTTTTCTGGACTTGTGGCTTCTTCAGCCTTGAGCTGTGACCCCCTTGTGGGGGCGGGCATCCGCCACCTCCAGGTATGGACACTTTACTCAGTAGTGCCATTTGAGATGTTTATACACCTCAATTAGGTCCCCCCCCCTTGCCTGTCTGTAGTATAAGCTAGGCAGTTGCAAGCTCTCTAATCTCTATGGGTAGCTGAGGTACCGAAGTGTAGGCACCAGTCTGGTGGCCCTTCTTTGGACATTTTCAATCACTGACAGTCCCTAGCACCTCACTCTTGAAGATCGTTAAGAGGGACAGACCGTCTAGATATCTGAACTACCTTCTTATAAGACCTAATAATTTAGTTGCTTGATTCACCTTCTCACAATGGCCCAAAAACTTCAGTTCATTGTCAACATACACACCCAAGTCCTTTTCGCATTCAGTCTCTATTAAAGCAGTTTCTTTACCCCGTTGGGACATGTGATACGCCTCCTTACCGTTGGTATGTCCCAGGTGCATCCTTTTGCACTTCGTGACACTGAATCTTAGCAGCCATTTCTTCGACCATTCTTGAAGCTCACAGAGATATTTCTGCAGCATCATCCTCAAACATCTGTATGGAGGACTGCATAGCTTCTGGCATATCATTTATGAAACACTGGGCCCAATTCACTACCCTGTGGTACCCCAGTATAGTTGTATATGTATGCATTATTTTCTATAGAAATAGCAATGATTTTCTGTATATGTAATGTATTTCATGGGGCAAAGGGAGGCTCAGGAACGTAACTCCCGTATTTTATCTATTTCTTCGGGGAAAATTTATCCGCTTAAAGTCGTTTCGTATAATGTCGCGTTTTTAGGAACGTAACCCTGACGTTAAGCGAGGACTTACTGTAGCAATACAAATACAGATTCGAAATTCGGTTGCAAAATAATCTTATACCTTTACTGTATCCACTAATTCTGCCATAAAATATACAGTAATGCATTCCTATATGGCAACTCATTCACTTCCATGGTTACTGTAGTCCACGGTGTGTGTGTGGAGCATTTAATATAACATACAGTTTAACTTATCTAGAAACAGTATACTGACATACTCCAGTCATATTTTAACAAAAAACACTACTCAGTCGAGTGTCCTTACTTGGAGCTGGTGGACGCTCGCCCCACAAGGGGTCACAGCTCAAGATTGAAGAAGCCGCAAGTCCAGAAAACTGTGAGGGCAAACTTTTTCGGAGTGAGGGTTGTAAACTCTTGGAACAATCTACCAGAGAGTGTTGTGACGGCACCGAGTGCGAGCTCTTTCAAGACAAGACTTGACCAACACTGGAGTGGGTTCAGGTACATTCAGGAGGCGGTGCATGCCCAGTATTTGCCAACAGTGCGTGACAGAGACGTGACCGATCGCCCGGGCGGCTAGCGAGCCGATCTTTTGGTGAAGAGGATAAATGAAAAGGAAAAGTAATCAGAGACGTAACCGATCGCCCAAGCGGCTAACGAGCCGATCAGTGGCGAAGAGGATAAAAGTAAGTAAGTAAATATTGTCAATGAAATAGCTAAATTCGGGCTACCAAATTATGTAAGAAATGTCTCACATTCAGGCCTACCAACCCTCGTGAGACAATGGGAATGTTCAGTTGGAAAACCATCGGACCCCGCCTGTACGGTAATTTTTTTACTGAGTGCACAACAGTTTTATAACACCTACTAACGACTTTATCTTTCACATCCTTCCCGTATACTACTGTATTTGGATTATGCTAAATTACCCGGTACTTTAGTTATGTCTTTTCATATGCAATAGGAAGTTTAGCACAAGAGTTAATGGAACAGTAATATCATACAGTTTGTCAAAGTAAACTTTGTTAGTCTTGATTTATTTTACTTTAAAGAAACACATAAAAAAAATTGGCTCTTAAACAGAGTATTTCATGGTTTCTGAATCTTACGTGAAAAAAATTTGGCTTATCCTCAGTTAACTCTTGGTCTTTACTCTCTTTCATTGTATAATTACTCCTGTTTATAATTATTAAGAATATCCATTATACAAATACTGTGCTGTATAAGCCTTTTTACCAGCACTTTATCATCAACAATATATATTTCTTCCACCTGCCAGATGGGACAGTGTGGCTTTATGTGTTTAAGCTGCAGGTCTGCATGTGGCACTCTGGTGTGGGTACAAGAGCAGGTTACTGGGGATACTCTGCCAGCGGCCAGTATGCAAGCCGAGATTATTCTGAGGACAGGTGTAATGGACCACTGGAATACTGGTACAACCTTGGCTACACAAACAAGACTAAGAGAGAAGTCAACGATATTGTTAGCAGTAAGGTCAAAAATATGTAGAAATAGAATTCTGTACTGTACTGTCTTGTATGGTACTGTATATATGCAAGGGAACATACAGTTGTGAAAGTCAAACCTAAGTACTGTCCAGTAGTCTCTTTTTTTATAGTGGCAAAAAACCATATACCATATACCTGTATTGATGTTTAGTATCTTCTACAAAGATATTAAAACATATTTTACAAGCAAAACCTTATACTGTACTGTACATATATGTCAAGTTTCAAATGGAAAAATAAATAAACCACCTTGTATCCATCAGTAAATACAGTACTAATATGATTGTACAACATGCTAACCTTTCAGAGGTCATTAAAATTTGAAATTATTTATGATACAGTACTGTACTGGCTGTGGTTGTAACTGCAGAGTAATTTAGTTAACCTCACTGTGTCATGAAGATACAGTATAAAGGCACTGACATAAGTTCCTGGCCCCTACAGCAACTGTTTTTTTTTTCACTGTATTGATTATATTATATCATTCCAGATTTGGTGCGAAAGTGCTATCCCGGTTACAGTAAGTGTTGGAGGTTCATGATGTCTCACTACAGCACTGGTTACTGGAACTGTAATTACTTCACTCATCACCTGGCAAAGGCCCTGGGTGTAGTCAAGAATTACCCAAGTTGGTTGTGGAACTCCCCATGGCCAGGCTTCAGCTGTTAAATTGTGAGAACAGAGGACTCTGGCTCCAGGTTCAGGGAGCTCTGCTAACATGCATCTATAATAGAGAGATTCCTCTCAGTAAAGGCAACTCTCTCTAAGACTGAGTGACTTTCTACAATCATGAATTTCTTGGTCTCCTAGATTTAAGGTTATTTCTTTGAGATGTAACACCATGAACAGATTCAACTTCCAGGACAAAAAGACCCCAGTCGTCATCTGTAGATCAAGCATCCAAGCCCCATTCAGTTTTGTGGATTAAACACTGGCCTGACACAATCATATTCCACTGACATATTATGATCCTGCATAGACACTTAGTACTAAACTGATTCAACTCTATTCTTTTATCAGAATAGAAAATTAAAGGGTATAAAGTACCTCAACTGTCTTGTAAACATGTTCTATTTCCTTTGATACCTGCAACACTAGTTGCTTTAGCCGAGTGACAATCATTTATTCTGTGATGTAGACCCAGTTTATGACTAATCCTCTCCCTCCTGGTAACCTCTTTCACATGCAATTACTGTATACATCTACTTGTTCGTTCTTCATGAGAAAATTCCTATACAGCCACTTGCTCTAACTGGTTGGCTAGAGTATGCAGTAAGTACTGAATAACACAAAGAATTTGGTCAAGACTGGGGAGGTAGACTGAACTTACACACAGTCTACTTCCCTAACTTCAGTTGTTTTACTGATAGAGAATACTGTAAGTACAGTATAGTCTGCATTTACGCGGTCAATTGAACCCGTGGAGGTCCGCGTAAAACGAGAAACGCGTAAACGAAATAACAGAACATATGGGATTAATTGAAATAGAGACTGGGCTGACTCCCAAACTCCACTTTTTCCGACACAATACATACCTTGTAGTAAAAACAACATCATAATTTTATGATGGTATTGCTACACACATAATATCTAAATAAAAAACTACAAATCTAAAGGTGTTTAACACTTACGTTAGTAGCAGAGATGGGTCGGAAAACGTGGATGACGGCTGGTTCCGAGGCAGAGGACAGATTAGTTGCCCTCCGGTGAATCACTTTCACTACTCGCAGAGGTTTGCAGGGCCTCCCTGACAAACCCCTCAAAGTCCATATCCTCACTGTCACTATCACTGACTTGGGGTGGCTGTGGTGGGTTGCGGGCGAAGAAGTCCTTAATACTACGTTGACGACTAGCATTGATGTTGTCGTGATAGATCTGGGCATACGGCTCCATAATTTTCAACAGAAGGTTATTAGACACTTCATACCGATGATTGACTGGGTCTTTGTCAAGGACGAGCTTGATTTTCTCCCCCAACTCGATGATTTCCTTCACATAACCATGGCTTGGTCCAGGTAATTCAATGTTTTTCTCGGGTGGTGGGGGTCCAGCGGAAGCCATTATGAGGGGAATAGCGGGCACAAGAGAGAACTGTATACGTGGACTGAGGACAATGAGACTGGCCCGGCTAGGTCAGCGGCTTCTGGTGGCAGGGCACGTCATGTTACATTAGACCAATCACAGCTAGCGGCGGAGGGAATGCGTGGGTGGTAAGGATGAATGGCCCAATCACAGTCCGATACGTCATATGACGTCAGCAATAACGTAAGAGCGACCTAATGCGCACAATGCCCGCGCCGCGTAAATTATGAAATTTACCGCGTAATTAAAACATTTCATTCTGGCAAGGCACTGCGTAAATGACCAAACGCATAAACAAAATCCGCGTAAATCCAGACTATACTGTACAAAAGTTTTATCTTGCAGACACTGGAGGGAGGTGGCCTGAATGAGAATGTGATGTCACAGATTCTAGCATACACCTGGCCATTTTGCTTTGGTCAACAATGATGGTGACAATCACAATTCAGTCTTAACCCTACATTCCACAGAAAAAGTGATCCTCATGTTCTCTCTCCTTGGTAACTTAGGAAATTAGTGCTTTGCTTCAAGTATTTAGTCCTATAAAAGGTGTTTTGGTTGGGTCATGCAAATTTCAGCACTGTACAGTAATAGTATTTAGCTAAAGCTTACTTATTTCATGTTTCAAATGTTGATTACTTTTCACAAATAATCAAATTTAAGATACTGTACAGCTGGCCGAGGACTGGCAACTCGTCAAGATATCAACAGATTTCTCATCACCGGGTATGTAATCCAGTGTATATCTTGATGGTTTGTTGTTCCTAGCCATTGAGGGTCAGACCTGGAGTTAGGAGGAAATGGTGTGTGTGTGTGTGTGTGTGTGTGTGAGATAAAACACACAAATTTATCGTTTCGAGATGGCCTGAAATCTTGAAGAGATTTTCACTTCCTGGACCTAATAGGTCGGCATTTTATACCTTTCAAAGGGATATTAAATGTTTTTTCTTTCATATAAGAACCTAGAGAAACCCTCAGGGAATTTACTAGTTGGATGATAGTCATTTGGATTACTCACTGAGAAATTGGTCATCTGGCCTTCCCCAAAATTTTGGATTGCTACCGTCCATATATACTTTTATCCTCCTTGCCACTGATTGCCTGTTAGCTGCTCGGGTGGTTGGTCATTTTACTTGCTACTAAGAGGGATATCCATATGAAATTACTTTAACACTTTAATCCCATGTCACGCTCCTTGAATAATTTCTATTTTTGTCCAATCCAGAATGGATACCATTCCTCAAAAGGGGAATTCAGTCAAGGGAAGTGGAGCAACTTCCTTTGGGACAAACACATAAATGCAAAAGAATTAGCAGTGGTCCTATTCTTTTTCTCGGCAAACCCAAATTTAAAAAATATGACGATCCTGTTTGCCATGGACAACAAAACGGCAGTGTTTTGTCTCAATCATCAAGGCTCAACCAGATCTTGGCCCCTTCTAAAACTGTCAGAAAATTGTTTCAAAGTTTGTGTAACACAAGCACTTTACCTCAAAGCAACTCATATACCAGGAGTACAAAACAATTGGGCAGATGCGTTGTCCCATCTCGGGCCAGTATCGACAGAAACAGAATGGTCCCTAAAGGTATCAGAGATCAAGCAGTTGAATAATTTCTATTATTTATATATAGCTCTCATTGATGTCACAACAAATTGTTTGCTTGTTACACTACCAATATGAATTTTCTTCTTTTATTGATAGGGTATACTGTATTATGATAGCAAGTAACCTTGGATTGGTTTACCTCTTAAAGTGTTATATTAAAGATGATACTCTATACATTCTTGGTATGTGAAAATTTCTTCCACAAACTGTATAGGGCAACCACTTTATACAGTACTGTATGTCCTCTTCATGATATTTGCTGCACCTTTGACTTCTGATTTTAAGGAATGTATAGCCAGCTACAGGATCATGAATAGTATTTTGTGTTTTGAAGGCCAGTACCTCCTTGATTTTTATTAGGAGGGCGTCACATTTTCTTAATACCGTAAGTACTGTATGTTCGGAAGCGGAATAAAGATGGTTATTTGCTGTATTCAGTGATATCTCCGTTAGCCGGAACAATTGGTGGAGAGAAATTCAGGGAATGAGAGATTTCAGAGTAACGAGACGACTCTTTCGAACATGGAAAAATCCTGTTCCCTGGAATTGTTCCGGGTGCTGATAAAATTTTCTTGTTATTTCCGGAAAATGCGCCTGATGTTCATCTCTTAAGCCCGGAAAAAATCCCCCATCCCTGGAATTTTCTAGATTGATGCATTATTTCTTCTCTCAAACCAGGAAAAGTCCCCCTTCCCAGAATTTTTCCAGGTACCTGTACCAGGAAAAATTTCTCAGAATTTCTGCAAAATGCACCTGATTTTTATATCTTAAACCTGGAAAAAAAAAATCCTACATCACTGGATATTTTCTGGGAATCAAGATTTTTTTTCCCCGGAATTTTTCAGAAAATGACCCCCTCGGAAAATCGTTCCCAAATCTGGAATTTTCTGGAAAATTCCAAGCAAATTCAATTCCAGCTATCAGAGAGTTCCACGTAAGAGTGATACCAGCTAACGGAGATATTACATACTCTTAAAAGGATTTGTTCTGATCCTTGCTATGGTCTGGGTCTTCCCGACACATCACCGATGCCTCCTTGACCTTATTGATATACCTGGTATACCTGTTTTTGCTTGCAGTTAGGGTATCATTGATCAAGCAAAGTTCCTAATCATGATAGCTTTTCATGGAGGTTTAGCAGTTGGTGAAGTCAGATGAGACAAATTCAAGTAGCTGGGACTCTGTTGGTTACAGCATTTCACTGCCTTTTTATTTATGTCCAGTAAACCCTTGCTATTCGTGAGGGTTAGGTTCCAAGGAATGGTGCGAATTGGCAAAACCATGAATAGCTACTTATACTATCTTAGTGCACTACTGTATACCTATACAGTGTATGAGAAACTTAAGTTACCAATACTGTACTACTCTCCTTCATATGTGGAAGTTTGGAGCCTGATGAAGTGTACTGTACAGTAGAATGAATCTGGTTACTGAAGCATAAGTTGATCATCAGGATCACTGTTGAAAGAGGGTAAAGCAGTGGTGGTTGGTGGAAAGGCGGGTGGTGAGGTAGCGAGGAGGTGGGTGGTGGAGCGGCGGTAGCAGCTGACCGAGTAGGTGAGGGAGATGAATCAGCTGGGCGAGTGGCTGGTTCTTTCTTGAAAACACCGTGAATGGTACTGTAGTTGTTTTCTCTTGGCTTTGAGGTCTAAACGTTTCACTCCATTAGCATCACTAGCACTGACACTAGGTAGTCTTTTAGGGTCCATTTCACACATAAACACTAAAGTTTTCAGTACAACACAAGGCAATGGTTGAGTGCAAACAAAGGGAGAGGAGACACTGCAGGCACATGGGGGTGACTCATTGCTCTGTGGGCAGGCTTGTAGGTTAGCCACTATCTGCTTATCGTAAATAGTTGAAATCATGAATCACAAACCAGCGAATAGCAAAGGCTTACTGTATTGTAAGGGGGTGGATAAGGGCCTAAGGGTGTTGAGATGTAGGAATACAAATGGAGGCTGGATGCTGTCGCAAAGTTAATCATATCCGATATTCAAGCAATATTTTACATCACATATTTGCTGGTCACATCCACTTTTCAGCTCACTAGCCAGTCGAATGGTTGGTCAGTTCTCTGTTATGTATTGTTAGCAGGTACTAGGCATGCACAGACTTCTTAATATACCTAAATATTTTCCACTGTTTGTCAGAGTTGGATTTCAAGGAGCTGACACTTGGAGTTGTCATCACATCCGCAACAAATTTCAAATCGATTCACTTGAAGATACAGAAGGAATTAAGTGTACATATACATTACATTTGCAACAACTGTGGTACAATTCAGATCAATCCACTAAAACTTATAGGTAAGAGCTGAATACACAACTGCATGTCGATATATGAACCCACCGGTGAGCAGCTACTATTGATCTAAAATATAACTTAGCTTTGTGATTTTCCAAAAGGCTCTTTCCATATTGATCAGTGGCCCTTATGCGCTTGTCCCCCATATTTCAAGCAGTACAGCAATAGTACTGTGCTAGTAACTTGACCTCATTTCTACATAGCATCAGCTATCACTGTGTGTTACTACAGTATAGTACTGTATTGTATTAGCTTCTTCTACCCTGTATTTTCCATATTCTTATCACCAGTGATGAGCTTATTAGATGATTAGGTGGTCGGTCATGTCTCTGTTATGCACTGTCGGCAAGTACTGGGCATGCACTGGCTCTAAAATCTTCTACATTAAAATTACTGTATGATATAACTTCACAACTGGATCCTTAGAATCTTTGAAATTTTGAAGCAGACAGCTATATTTGACCAATGCTCTGGATTCTAGTTATTTTCTTATGAATCTACTTATCATTCTTTTGACCCATTATCTGGCTACCATGAATAACTTGCAATTACCTTAAAAGATAACACCATCAGATTCCATTTACTCCTATTTTGGTAACATGTTATAGTGCTTCTTTGTCCATCCTTTACATTACTGCCCCATTCTAAAACAACTTTGCAACTTACATAAATTTGTACCAACAGGGCAGCCTACCAGGTTGCCACTAACCTATACTCTCTCCCAGTAACTATTTACTTAACCCTCTCTCACTAGTTGCTGCCGAACTGTTTAAAAAACAAATTTATTGCTTTACTTACAACTTAATCAGGCTTGTCTCCTTCAAAGTACTCCCCTCCACTGTTGATACACTGCTCCCAACGTTTTTTCCAGTTCTAGAGCGCGTTTTGAGGGATGGTGTGCAGGTTTCGTAGCGAATTTTCTTCAATTGTTTGAAATCAGCGACCTTTCAGGGTGGATTTCAACTTTTGGGAAAAAAAAAGTCCACAGGGGCCAAATCCGGAGAGAAGGGCGGCCGGGGGACGATAGTCGTTTTGTGCTTCGCCAAAAAGTCACGGATAAGGAGTGAGGCGTGAGCAGGTGTATTGTCATGGTGCAACATCCAGGTCTTGTTTGTCCACGCCTCAGGCCTCTTCCTTCGCACTGCCTCCCTCAAACGCTTCAGGACCTCCAAGTAAAACTCTTTATTGACTGTCTGACCACGTGGAACAAACTCATGATGAACGACGCCCATCCAATCAAAAAAGACGATCAACATCACCTCCACACTTGAGTGACTCTGACGTCCAGATTTGGGATCGTCTTCGGTGGATGTTTGTCCCCTTTTGAAACGCTGGTACAACACGTGACATTGCGTATGGCTCAAACAATCTTCCCCATAAGCCTGTTGCAACATTTGAAATGGTCGTAAGTCGAAAATGCTTAAATAATACATAGAAAATCTAAGATGGGTGTCTCTTTTTCTTCTGAGCGCCACAAAACTCTCACTTTTAAGCTTGCCAGCCATTTTAAGGTGAATTACAAACGAAAATTTTGTCTGTACTGACGTTGGGACTCGAAAATGCAAAATTTGACAAAATTTTGGCACGACTGAGGCAAATCGAAAGTGTGGGTGGTCGTAAGTCGGGGAGGATATATATATATATATATATATATATATATATATATATATATATATATATATATATATATATATATATATATATATATATATATATATATATATATATATATATATATACAGTATATATATATATATATATCATTACTTCAACTCTGTATTTAGCTTTTGTCGTACTGTTCTTGCCCAAACTCACAAAAGACAAAGAGACTGGATCACTAATCTGGTAACCCCTTAAAAATTTTTACAAATTATATAATATTTCAAATATTTACAGAATTATTTACCTAAAAAAAAAGTTAGTATCTGTACTGTAATAAGATTGCATTTAAATCAACACAATCTGATTTTCATCATTTCTAATTAAACAAGGCGAGAACTTTCATCACCTCCACAATCCAACTGTCAAAATCTATACAGAACTGTATATGGTAAACATATTGCCTTAAAGAACATTCCTAATCACATGACCAGATAAGAAAATTCTGAATGCAGTATTTACAAAAGCATTAAGACACTAGTAAAGAAAAAACAAAAATGTTAAAATGAATTTATATTACATCAACAAGCTTGACTCCAAAAGGTTTTATGTACTGGTATCCAGCTCATAACCTTTACAAAACTGTTTTTTACAATCTATAAAATGTTCATTTTTAAAGGAAATAAAAGAAAATGTAGACTAGCAACATTAAATAAAACCATAACAGTACAAGGGGCCCACCAAGTTCGCAGATTTTTATTTCACGGTCCTTTATTATTCGTGGATGACACCCTAGATGTACCCAAGAATGTCTGTGGTTAGTTTTAAAGTTGCCGTTTTTTTTGCAGCTGAGAGAGGCAGCCATTCGTTCTGGAGACAATAATTTCCTTTACCTGTATTATAGATATGTGTGTGTGTGTGTGTGTGTGTGTGGACACACACACACATAAAACACATATAAATAAATAATAATTGGAAAATCCTCTCACAAATAATCAAACAAATTTATTAAAAATGTGACAGTCTACGCTCAAGTCCGTGCTTTATTACTTTATTATGCTTTGGACCTGAGGACTGTCACATTTTTAATAAATTTGTTTCTGATTATTTGTGAGAGTATTTTCCCATTATTATTTACACACACACACACATATGTACAATCTAGGTAAAAGAAATAATTGTCCTAAGGGCAAACACAAAGAGAATATACATTTCTTTGTACACAAGTAAAAATGTACCCCAGTCTGCAAATGTTATTTGCGGATTTGGCGATTCGAGGCCATTTTGAGAACCTAACCCCTGTGAATTTGGGAGGCCCCCTGTATAAGTTAAATTACTATGTGATAATCTATCTACACACAAACAAATTATCAAAAACAGTTAAGAACTGTACAGTTCTGCATTATGAAGTGCTGAATTGCACACATAACAAAACCCATGATCCTGTTGTCAGTACAAATATAGTTATCTGTTTTATGCCTGTGTTTTTTTTTGTATGTAAGCTTCAATTAGGTTTTGATGCATAATGTATAATTCAAACATGAAAAGTTATCAACACAAACTTCCTTGTTATTTAATAAAACTTCAAAACAGAAGAAAAATTGTATGATTTAGTTATATTAATAACAAAATATCATCAAAATCCCTGCTATTACCTCATAAAAATATTTTATGATTGTCTCAATTCTTCCTGTGTACAACAGTTTAAGTGCCAAAGACCTTCATATTTTCCCAAGTGTAAAAATCCAACATTTCAAGCTAGGAAAACACAATACACTAGCTCTCATAAACTGTACTGCAATTTTCTAATTGCACATATAGTATACAGTACACAACAGTAATTCACTAATAAAGATAATGCATCTCAATTTTTTTTTAGCAGCTAAGAGCCAATCAGTGGCAAAGAGGATAAAAGTAAAAGTAAAATAAAGCATACAATTATGGCACTACTTACACAACTACTATATAATCTCTCAAAATGTATAAAAGATCACAAAAACTATAACAAAATGTTCCACAACACAAAACAACGCCATGACCAAATATGAAAGACATCTCACTACTTACAAAAATGTATTCCATTATACATTGATTTAATAAAAGAATGTTGATGTACAGTATGAATTGGAAGGTAATTAATGCAGTAATTAGCCCATTATAAAATCACAATCATAAAAGAACAATAACTTTTAATATGAGGCAATGCAGACCATAACTTTGTAGGCGCTAACCCGATCAAAACCACTATCTTTATCCCATTGTCTTCCCATACCTATTGCCCTCAATTCCAAATCCAAGAGAACATGAAATAATAGTTTGTAGGGTCGAAAATCCCAGTTCTGTACACCATTCACTTTGCCTTTCACTGATGACAAGGTGAACAACCCTGAACCATTGAAGTCCTTTATGCTGGCAGACAAGGCAAAGTTCTTTCTCAATAGTGTCAAGGATCACAGATGACGATGATACGGCAACGACGACGAGTAACTCTGGATGACACATCTGCAGTGCAGTGACTCCCACCATGTGACAGTGATAGTGACACGGTGTGTAGTTTAATAATGAGGTTATAATCGGGTGATTATCATGCCTTACTAATCATCATGTGTGTGCTAGACCATGCCATAGCCCACACTACAACCATTGTGCTACACCCACCAATCATGGAGTTATGCATATGTATTTATAACTGCATGTGATCCTCTGTGTGTGGACATTATTTTGCATACAATAATCTTTATTTCAAACATGTGCATCAGTTTTTTGCCAGAAAATGCAGTTAAGGTGATTATTATGGTGATAACTATACCTAATCGCTTGGTCATTTTTAGTTCTGATTATGATTAGTTATGATATACATAAGTATCCTTTATCAAAATATTCAAATTTCATCAAAATCTAATGCCTCTGTATTGCTAAGTGTGTGATCATTTTCATGATTGCTAATAATCATGACAAGATTGTTCTTATATGATTATGGCAACATAATTCTGAGTACATAAGCTTAAATTTCTTACAAGAATCATTGCACTATCACAATTAGTTAAAGAGATACAGTGAGCTTCATTTTCCAAAACTTAGCCACATATTTTTCTTTTTTTTTTGGTGCTTAATAAGTTATGGTCTGCATAGCCTCATATATGTTAATAAACATTTAAAAAAATTAAGTTTAATCTAGACAATCCCTTAATCCTTTTGTTTGTGTTTTTTTTTTCAAATTTCAAGGTACTGTACAGTATATACTCAGAACTATCTAAAAAACAAATCATGTTACCTCCACTTTTTAGAAGTGCCTTTGTAACATATAATTATTATTATTAGTTACTGTTATTACTATAATCATTTTGTAAACCACTCTGCACACACTAACAGCACTATTATGATGCCTGTTACTTTACACTGATTTGATAAAATACTGTACTGTATATACTGCACAAGAGAGAAAGCAATGTAATTTTTTCTCTCCATTAAATTGATTTATTCTCATCCAAGAACACCTTAAAAAAGGAAACATAAAACAGACACCTTAAGCAAAGGTGGTTTTCACAATCAATGGCTCTGACACAGCTGATACATAAAACATCACAGATTAGCTCTTGCTAGATCTCACTTATTATGAGTTCACAACATACGTAGTGCATTCTGCCAATACGTACTTAGCTACCATGAAAAAGGAAGTCTTACACCCTAAACATGACAATATTTTTTTATTTCAAGAGTTAAACTCAACATATTTGTTTACCACTTATAAAAGGCTTTCATGATCAATTCAGTAACTCCACTAAAATTCCCAAGTGTTTCGCCTCAGGAAACGATAGTTAACAATCAGTAATGATACAAGATTATACCTTGTTACATCACATAAACTTGGTTTTACTAAATAAAAACTCAGTATTTCACGAGAACAGTACTTACATATTCATTGGCCATAAATATACAATATAATGTAAAACTGCCTGAAAGTACTGGCTTAGGATAATGCTATACAGTACAGTATAAGAGAATATGATTTCACACAATACCTAAACATACTGCATCTCTAAAATCAATAACTGTATTGAATTACTCTGGCTAGACACAAAAAGATGTGTGATTACTTTATATGTATGCAAATATGATTCAACATACGGTATACTGTACAGTAGTTTCTTCTCTTCAAAATATAGTAAAATCTTTAAAAGGAGATTAAGTAATGGCTCCATTCAATCACAACAATCAAAATAGGCACAATTTTCCAGCTAATTGTTCCCTTGTGAAACAAGATTAAAATGCATAAAATCTTGCTTTATTGCCTATAAAGAAGACATCTTAATTGCCTTTAAAACATAGAAAGTGTCTATATATTTAAAAACCACAGAACAGATAATGAACATTATCAATATTATCTGTGTACTGTATCTCAGACAAAGCTATCCAAGGCGAGTGTTTTACTAAACATTAACCTCCCGTGGAGTCTCATCACCAGAAATGCCTGTATAACCAATATTTCTGGTCAGGAAATCCCCACAAGGAGCAACTATGGCCTTAATTTTCTGCTTGTGGAAATATGCAACAGCCAACAGCATTGACGATGTGAATACTAAAAAGAATGACAAAGCACCAATAGTAGCTGAAGAATACCCAATGATATGATGCCCACCATGGTAATTTGCAGTGTCATGAAAAGCTTTCTCTGTGTGTAAGTTATTGCTTTTATTGTTGATTTTACCACTTGAAGGGCAGCTCAGCTTGTGCACCTGAGAAAACAATATCTATGTATAACCCATGTTCCCAAAAGCTAATTCATGAAATAATGTAATCATTACCCAGCCATTCTCTCTTGTCCTAACTACTTTTAAGCATATTTACCATAACTTTAATTTTACATAATTAATACTAGTGTCATATTCAAAGTACTGTTAATAAATACAGTACTTTGATTGTTTATTTTTGTTGGACAGAGAACTGGCTAAGATTTGCATGGGAGAAGTAGACAAAACTACTGGGTATCAAGACCACTGGAGGGATCCTACAATGGCCACTGACTTTCTTCCCTCAGCAAGGCCACCTCTAGCGGGTGGCCATCAAGTAAATACACTATAAAGAGAATGGTAAGTGAAAGATTGGTAAAAAGAGTGAATAACTCATAAGTTACCCGTATGCAGAAAATGATATTATACAGTACAACAGTTAATCAAATAATTAATGATGCATATGGCAGCTTTATAAAAACTAAAAACCAGTTCCAATATCTTACCTTACTAAGAAGTTGCCCAGTGTTTGAGTCAGGATACCCATCTCGACATACAAATGTCTTCCAGTCTCGGACAACAACTGGTGTAGAGTTTAGCCAATGGATGAAGTTTGATGAGCGACAGTCACAGACAAAGGGATTTTCTTCCAGTTTTATTTCAAAAGAGGAAACATTCTTCACAAAAGAATCTAATTCAGTCATAGCTTTACCAGAGAGCCTGAAAAATATTTTTTTTGTCACCAAAACTATTGCCATAAAAATACTGTAGTACATATCAGGATCGTCATCTAAAGCTTTCACAAAACAGAGATGGAATCTGATAAAAGAAAATAAGGGAATGAATCTAAAAGAACCATTCTACACAGTACTGTTAATATGTCCATGATTATATTTTTTAATTAAAGGTTTTAAAATTAGTTATGAGAAACATGAAAAGTACTTTTACTTTTTACTTTTATCCTCTTCGCCACTGATCGGCTTGTTAGTCGCTTGGGCAATCGGTCACATCTCTGATTACTTTTCCTTTTCATTTATCTTTTTCACCAAAAGATCGGCTTGCTAGCCGCCCGGGCGATTGGTCACGTCTCTGTCACGCACTGTTGGCAAATATTGGGCATGCACCGGTTCCTGAATGTACCTGAACCCGCTCCAGTGTTGGTCAAGTCTTGTCTTGAAAGAGCTCACGCTCGGTGCCGTCACAACACTCTGGTAGATTGTTCCAAGAATTTACAACCTCACTCCGAAAAAGTTTGCCCTTACAGTTTTCTGGACTTGCGGCTTCTTCAATCTTGAGCTGTGACCCCTTGTGGGGCGAGCGTCTGCCAGCTCCAAATAAGGACATTCAACCGAGTAGTGCCCTCTGAGATGCTTATACACCTCAACTAGGTCCCCCCTTGCCCGTCTGTAGTATAAGCTAGGCAAATTCAGGCGCTCCAATCTCTCAGGGTAGCTGAGGTGCCGAAGTGCAGGCACCAGTCTGTTGGCCCTCCTTTGAACATTTTCAACCAACAGACAGTCCCTAGCATATCTCGGGGACCAGATGGGGTGACAGTACTCAAGATGGGGAAGCACTTCACTCCTGAAGATCGTTACGAGGGACGGACCGTCTAGATATCTGAACGACCTTCTTATAAGACCCAATAATTTATTTGCCTGATTTACCTTCTTCTCGCAATGGCCCGAGAACTTCAGCTCATTGTCAACATACACACCTAGGTCCTTCTCACATAAAGTCTCAACTAGTGCAGTTTCTTCATCCCGTTGGGACATATGATACGCCTCCTTACCGTTGGTGCGCCCCAGGTGCATCCTCTTACACTTCGTGACATTGAATCTCAGTAGTCATTCCTTCGACCATTCCTGGAGCCCACAGAGGTCCTTCTGCAGCTCTTCACAGTCAGCTTGGTTCTTAATTTCCCGAAATAACTTGGCGTCATTGGTAAACATTTGTATGGAGGCGTGTACAACGTCAGGCATGTCATTTATGAAACAAACAAACAACAGCGGGCCCAATACACTGCCCTGTGGTACCCCACTTGTGACAGGTACGGATAACGATTTCATGCCATTAATCACCGCACACTGCTTGCAGTCACGTAGAAAGTCTTCTATCCATGCTAGGACATTTCCCCGAATTCCGTATCCTTCCAGTTTGATTTTCAGCCTTTCATGGGGTACACTGTCGAAAGCCTTGGCAAAATCTAGGTAAATATTGTCGATATTACCACCCTGTTCCAGAATATGGGTCCAAATATCCAATACCTTGGGCAATTGTGTTAAGCAGGAGCGCCCCGGCATAAAACCGTGTTGGCAATCCTTTACAAGATTGTTTCGTATTAGATGTTCCATTGCGGCATCTCTGATAATACTCTCAAGTACTTTACATATTATGCTGGTCAGGCTCACCGGTCTAAAGTTGTTGGTGGAGTGCCGATCGCCCTTCTTGAAGATAGGACTCACATAAGCCACTTTCCATTCACTGGGGACCATTTGTTCATCCAGGCATTTACAAAACAGGATCTTCAGGGGCGCTGCAAGCTCGTTGCACAACTCTCTTAGCACTCTAGGATGCACCATGTCAGGGCCGGGACTCTTATGGACCTTTAGCCTGGACAGTTTATTTCTAATACCCTCTTCTGTGAACACAATGTGGGTCAGTGCTGTGTCGAACCGTCTGTCCTCAAACGCAGGAAGGTTAGTTGCGTCCTCTCTTCTGAACACCGAGGAAAAGAAGCTGTTCAATGCCTCGGCTTTATCCTGGTCAGAATCTGCGTAACTACCATCTTCAAGCCTCAGATCTGATACTCCTACTCGCGTTTTCAATTTCGACTTTGCATAGCGGTAAAGTGCCTTTGGGTTTGACTTGACCTTGCTTGCAACCAGCCTCTGGAACTCTTTTTCAGCCCTTCTACACTCTATCTTTGCTTGGTTTCTGGCTCTTGCATACATCCTTCTGTCTTGCTCATCTTTTGATCCAACCCAAGTATTGAATTTCTGCATTTTCTTCATGCAATTTATTTTTATTGCATGGGAAAGTGGAAACTTGGTTTTGGCCTTAAGATAACATTCAACAGTTAATGGTAATGCTCCTAATCCAGTCATAACTTGGCATTACCAATGACTGACATACAAATGCCTTGCAAAAGAAACTGACTTCCCAAGTGGTGTAGACTGACGGACCTTATACTATCTAATTCTATCTGCTGATCTTTCTACAGTGAAAGATCCAGGAGGAGAGAAGCTATGAGACTGAAGTCATGGGTAGAGTGAAAATGTAAAGAAATATAAATGTCTAGAAAGTTGAGTTGAGAAAGGAGTTTGAAAGACTACCAAGAGTATTGAGTGTTGCACATGAAGCCTGGTGAAGATTACCAAAGGTACACAAGAATTTCATGGCATCATCCTCCTAAATACCCAGCTGTTCTCTCAAGGTGGTACTGTATTCCCTTAGTTGTCAGTTTACCAAGTTACCACCAAGTCCATCTAGTTTCATTTAGTGCAGGGTTTCCAAAATTTTGTTCACTGCGGACCAGGGTGTATACGTCCAATATTTTTGTGGACTGGTAAGTGAGTGTGGGTGTGTGTGGGGGGGCATAATTAATAGATTTGAGGACAACATTAAATTGCACAGTGGAGTTTCTCAAGATAACATTGCATATCAAGTGATAAAATATAAAAATATATACAAACAGGTACACAGTATATAATTCTCCACTCGATCGATAATTCCTAGGTTGTCGGAATTTCAAAGATTTTCCATTGGTTTTCAAATAATTTTCGAGGCCCAGTGGCCAATGTTCTGCGGCGGACAGTAACTCCTGATCTAGGGTGTGTATTGTCAAAAGGTGTAAGATGTGTTTACCTATCCTTCATTATAAGGACCAACAACCCATTCCATGCTCTGTTGATTTGGCAACTGATCCTAATATAAGATGTTATCTCATATTTTGTACAGTAAACCTTTGTTATTCGTGGGGGTTAGGCTCAAAGGAATGGCATGAACAGGCAAAACCGAGAATAGCAACTTATACTACCTTAGTGCACTATTGTATACCTATACCAAACAACTGACCAGCCGTGGTTTAGGAGGGAGATAGGAAGAAACTGGTTCACAAATAGGGTGGTGGACGAGTGGAACAAGCTTAGCAACTTTGTAGTAAGTGCGGGAACTCTGGAAAGTTTCAAAAGGAGGCTAGATAGATTCATGGATGATAGAGAGTGGTAGTAACTCTCGACAGGAGCTGCCATGCACAGGCCAACCGGCCTATTGCAGATTCCTTATTTTCTTATGTTCTTATGTTCTTTAACTTATCTGATAATTCAACTTTCTTAGTCAGGGTCATCACTGACTTCTGCCTTTTACATTTCACTTCACTAGCATCACTAGCACTGACACTAGGCAGTCTTTTAGGGGTCATTTTCACACAGGAACACTAAAGTTTCGAGAGTACAACACGAGATGCTGCGGAAAAAGGCCCACAAGCTAGCCACCAAAGCCACCATTTGTTTACCGCGAATGATCGAAATCGTGAATCGCAAACCCACGAATGGCAAGGGTCTATTGTACTGTAATCTATTACTTTTCCAGTAAATATCTCTTTAAAATGTGCAATAAATATTACCCATTAAAAAAAATTACACACAAATTGTTCAATAGCCAGAAGCTTTCAACGTGTAATACAGTACAGGCACTGAATAGTACAGCTAGTCCCCAATTTATGATAAACCAGTTTAAAAAATCTGAAGTTACAAAAAAACATGAATTACAGTATTTACAAAAATCCATCAGAAGATGCTGAGGTGCTGACATAGGCATAACAGGGCTTTCCATACCTGACTTGATCAGTTTACAATGGAAATTAAGTAAACCAAAAGCAACATACAGTACTGAGTTAACACAAACTTGTTCTTAATAGCCCATGTGAGAAGAGGTAACATCTGGGATAAGGTACCTCAGATCATTGGTTATTGAGCAATATTAATTTCAAATGCTATGTGAAAACAATAACATAATTATATTATTATAAATAAAGATAATCAAGGTACTGAGCTATCTATTCAATCATACAATAGTTATTTATGAATTCTATACTTCTGGCAAATGTTGCAACTCACTAGGAAGTTTTGGAAAGTCAACAACCCTTTTAAATCACTCCTTGGAAATCATAACTTTTGTATAGACCTTAATATATTTATTTTATTTAAAACATGTACTATACATCAATATTTTATTTTATCATTTAAGTAGTAAAACAAATCTTTAACTGAATTTGTGTGCATGTGGTGCACTTTCTTTGTAACTTTTGTGTCCCCCATTGCATTATTGGCTTATAATCAATGTGTGCATCAATTCTTTTTTTGTACTAAAATCACATTCTGTAGCATTTCAAATTGTTTTGGGGAAGTTTTTTTTCCTAGGAACATATCTCGGCATTTATAATAGGAGTCTATGGGAAAATGTGATCCAACTTACAGCAAAATCAAATTATAAAAGGTTTTCCAGTAATTGCACCCAATCATAAATTGGGGACTGCCTGTACAAGTATTTATTATCTTACCTGGAAATCATGTTCCTCTCCAAATCTATGTATCTCAGAGAATGGAGACAGTCAATCCGGAAGTCAAAGTCAAGGAGCCTGTTGTCACCCAGATGCAATTGCTCAAGATGTGGCAGTTGACAAAATATCTTTGGATTTTCTCCTATACTCCAAATCTCATTTTGTTCTAAATGTATTATTTTCAGAAAGCTGTAAATAAAATTAATATCATGTAACACAACTATACCTGTATTTTTCTTCAATATACTGTACAGAATTTTAATTTTCACTTTTAATTATCATTTCCATTTGTTCCCTCTCAATTTTTCAAGAAGTTCATTTCCTCTTGATACAATTTCTCTGACGCCATCATCCGACACCTGATTGAAAACAGTTTTATCAACAGATCACAAGACGGTTTCATGCAAAAAAAATTTCTGTCTGACAAATTCACTCACATTCCTTGAAAAGGCAACAGAATACTGTATGTGGAGTGTGGACCAAGGCTCACCAGTAGATGTGTTGTACATGGATTTTCCAAGTACAGCACCACATGCACGACTAGCCTTTAAGATCCAGGCACATATGACATCACAGGCAAGACTTTGACATGGATTTGCAACTGGCTTGATGATAGGTAACAAAGAGTGGTAATAAATGGAGTTGATTCTGAATGGAGGAAGATTCTCTGTGGAGTACCACAAGACTCTATCCTTGAACCCACCTTGTTGGTAATCTACATAAACAACATACAGTATATGAAAGCCCCTGTACATCAAGCCACATTGTCAAGTTTATGGACAACACAAATATATTTGAGAAGGAAGCAAGTCAGGACAATATCGCAACAATGCAGGAAGATCTGCACGAGCTGTTGAAATGGTCTTGAGACTGGCAATTAATCTTTAACATTATGAAATGTAAAACTCTACACATAAGATACAACAATCTTAATCAAAATTTTTCTGTTAATTTCACTTTCCTGGAGACTGTCAATAAGGAAAAAGAGCTAGGTATTGTGACAGATCAGTCACTGAAGGAAGCACAACATGTAGGAGCAGCAATGAAAAAAGCAAACAGAGATTTGGGAAATATAAAGTGTATGTTCGAATGCAAAGATAGGAAAAAGTTCCTTCAACTTTATAAATCTCACATGTACATCCCAGTTTGGAATACTGTACTGTATACAAACATGGAAACCCTACCTCCAGAAAGACCTAACATCCCTAGAAAAGGTGCAACACAGAGTACCTAAGATGATTCCGAAAGTATTTCATCTTGATTATCTAAGTAGACCAAGGGCCTTAGGACTAACAACTCTTCAGACAAACACAACAGGACAGATCTCATAAAGACATGAAAAATTTGAAGGGGATGAAAAATTTTAATCTTAGCCATTATTTTTGTGATGTCACACACCAGCAACAAGAGGGGACATAACTTCAAGCTTGCACAATTATCATGCAGAATGAACATAAGGAAATACTTCTTCACACAAAGGGCGGTAGACATAAGGAGTACAGTAGTCTACCAGCTGAAGCTGTGGAATCAAGAACAGTACTGGGGTCCAAAATAGCCCTTGACAAAACTATCAAGAACAATGGAGAGATCTTACACAGGTCAGTTTGGACCCCTCTAGTGGGTGGCAATTAGATAAATAAGGAAGGTAAGGTAAATGCTGTAAATCATATTATATGTTTCAAAGTAGTTTTCACAGATTACAGAATTGCTTACCTTAGTTCACTCTCATAAAAGATATCGTCAAGACTCAGCAGATAGTCTGAGGCATTTGTATCCTCAGTAAATGCATTAGTCAGATGAAGATTCTCCAGGCTCTCAAAATTACTGAAAATTCTGGGCCTTTCTTTCTTGTCTGTGATCTCTAAGGCATTGTGATTCAAGATTAAAGTTTTTACATTATACACCTGGAAAAAAAAACACAAGTTAAAACATGATTTACTGTACAGTATGTAATTGGCAAATTCATACATGTTCATCATAATAAAGAATTTCATAAAATTTTTTTTCAATAATTGATGGGTGAGGAACAGGAAAAAATATATGAGAAGGCATTGGTTGTATGGGCCAATACTGTACTGTACTGTCCTGGTATCTACAATACAAATGCTCAAAGAGGCATTCATTTCAAGCAATAGGAAGCTATATGCTGCATTTATGGATATGATGAAGGTATATGATAGAGTGGTCCAAGTGGCATTGTGTGCAGATGGTCCAAGTAGCATCTGGCATAAGTTACTTTTTTTACTTTTTTTTACTTTTATCCTCTTCGCCACTGATCGGCTTGTTAGCCGCTTGGGCGATCGGTCACGACTCTTTTCCTTTATATTCTTCACCAAAAGGTCGGCTCGCTAGCCGCCCGGGCGATCGGTCACGTCTCTGTCACGCACTGTTGGCAAATACTGGGCATGCACCGGCTCCTGAATGTACCTGAACCCGCTCCAGTGTTGGTCAAGTCTTCTCTTGAAAGAGCTCACACTCGGTGCCGTCACAACACTTTCTGGTAGATTGTTCCAAGAGTTTACAACCCTCACTCCGAAAAAGTTTGCCCTCACGGTTTTCCGGACTTGCGGCTTCTTCAATCTTGAGCTGTGACCCCTTGTGGGGCGAGCGTCCGCCAGCTCCAAGTAAGGACACTCAACTGAGTAGTGCCCCCTGAGATGCTTATAAACCTCAACTAGGTCCCCCCTTGCCCGTCTGTAGTATAAGCTAGGCAAGTTCAGGCGCTCCAATCTCGCAGGGTAGCTGAGATGCCGAAGTGCAGGCACCAGCTTGGTGGCCCTCCTTTGAACATTTTCAACCAACTGACAGTCCCTAGCATATCTCGGGGACCAGATGGGGTGACAGTACTCCAGATGGGGAAGCACTTCACTCCTGAAGATCGTCACGAGGGACGGACCGTCTAGATATCTGAACGACCTTCTTATAAGACCCAATAATTTATTTGCCTGATTTACCTTCTTCTCACAATGGCCCGAGAACTTCAGCTCATTGTCAACATACACACCTAGGTCCTTCTCACACACAGTCTCAACTAGTACATTTTCTTCATCCCGTTGGGACATATGGTACGCCTCCTTACCGTTGGTACGCCCCAGGTGCATCCTCTTACACTTCGTGACATTGAATCTCAGCAGCCATTCCTTCGACCATTCCTGGAGCCCACAGAGGTCCTTCTGCAGCTCTTCACAGTCCGCTTGGTTCTTAATTTCCCGAAATAACTTGGCGTCATCGGCAAACATTTGTATGGAGGAGTGTACAACGTCAGGCATATCATTTATGAAACAAACAAACAACAGCGGGCCCAATACACTACCCTGCGGTACCCCACTTGTTACAGGTACAGATGACGATTTCGTGCCATTAATCACCACACATTGCTTGCGGTCATGTAGAAAGTCTTCTATCCACGCTAGGACATTTCCCCGAATTCCGTACCCTTCCAGTTTGATTTTCAGCCTTTCGTGGGGTACACTGTCGAAAGCCTTGGCAAAATCTAGGTAAATATTGTCGATATTACCACCCCGTTCTAGAATATGGGTCCAAATATCCAATACCTTGAGCAATTGTGTCAAGCAAGAGCGCCCCGGCATAAAACCGTGTTGGCAATCTTTTACAAGGTTGTTTCGTAGTAGATGTTCCATCGCTGCATCTCTGATAATACTCTCAAGTACTTTACATATTATGCTGGTCAGGCTCACCGGTCTATAGTTGTTCGTGGAGTGCCTATCGCCCTTCTTGAAGATAGGACTCACATAAGCCACTTTCCATTCACTGGGGACCATTTGTTCATCCAGGCATTTACAAAACAGAATCTTCAGGGGCTCTGCAAGCTCGTTGCACAGCTCCCTTAGCACTCTAGGATGCACCATGTCAGGTCCAGGACTCTTATGGACCTTTAGCCTGGACAGTTTATTTCTAATACCCTCTTCTGTGAACACAATGTGGGTCAGTGCTGTGTCGAACCGTCTGTCCTCAAACGCAGGAAGGTTAGTTGCATCCTCTCTTGTGAACACTGAGGAAAAGAAGCTGTTCAATGCCTCAGCTTTATCCTGGTCAGAATCTGCGTAACTACCATCTTCAAGCCTCAGGTTACGGGGTACTGTACAGTCCCCTTCACTAATGCGTTTACAGGGGCTCGTCATATAAACATTCCACAAATCATTATCTTTGATACATTTGTTTTAATATTAGTTTTCTTCTGTCGAATGTAAACAACACAGGGCTGCCACACTGCACAAAACCTGACTAGCCCCTGTAAACGCATGAGTGAAGGGAACTGTACCTCACATTTTTTGTTTCATTATTAAGTAACAGAAACAGAAGTGGTGTACCGTATGTGTGGCGGCCAATTCATTCTCCAACAATCATCCAAACGAAATGGAAGGCAGACACAGAAATGAAACATCTAAGAAAACCCACTAAATGACTTGTATTTCTAACATAAGAAAATATGTAGTAAGGAGAGTAGACATACCAACACATCATCATATCCAGGGTTCCTATCAAAATACTTCATCATGTATGCCAGAAGGTGAAGAAGAGCAAGAGTCGCAAAACTTTTTTTGGATGCGTGTACATGATTTTGAATATGAGAGATATAATGGCAGCACCGTCACCTCTGTTCATTCTAGGCATTAAATCATATTCAAAGTACAAGTCCAGCCCTCATTCCTTTCGGGATTCTTTAAGACACTTAAAAAACATATAAACAGTACAGTATAATCTTCAGTAAAAAAAATTGAGGCATACATTTAGCAAAAATATATACCGGGTATATCTTTAAATTAGCTGTCCAATAATCCTCTAACAGCACTACAGAAGTACCGGTACTCTGTTATACTAAACTTGCTTCAACCAATGTACACCATATTCCTCAGTACCTAACACATTGCCCTAAGGAGTAGTTTTCTTACCTTGTGGAATGATTTACCCTGAATGAAGCGTATGTTGTTATTGGACATGTCTACAGTCTCCAAGACATCCAATAATTTTAAGTAGTTGTTGAAGATATTAAATGGCAGTTCAGGCACATTATTACCAGTGAAGATGAGAATTTCAGTGCTGTAGTGGAAGAATGAATTTAATAAATGTTAGAAGTACCCAAAAAGGTGATAATTTCAAACACAACTAACTCGAGGTAATATTCGTAAGCTATGTAAAATATTCAGTTTAAAATATCATACAATTAGTAATCAAACTAATATAGGAGAAATCAGAAAATATGTTTGATGATTGATTTTATACAATAGATTTCATATACTGTACTGTAGCTATAGTACCTGTACAGCCTGTCCATATAAAACATATGAAAATTCTATACAGTATACAGTATATGCAGTACTGGTATAGTGTGTACAGTATTTTACTTTGACTGTCTATTTTAATTTAAGTGTACAGTTTAACAAAAACTCACTTTTCTGGGATATCTTGTAACATTGAAGCATTTGTAAAACCAGAATCTGTACAACTGACAGTGAATTTATTGGTGCTGGAGTAAATGGAAGTAATATTTCCACATTTGCAACGCCCCTTGAAGCTTTCAGGGCAGCCTGTATTATCCACTTTAGCGCAGCAGCCAATGCTCATCAGCATCCACAATGCAGCAGCTACTACAACTTTTTCCAACACCTAAAATAGAAAAAAGTCTTTCACATGTCATCAACATTAAAAAAAAAAGTATTGTTCATTGTAAAAGCTGATAACAAAGAAAAAACACACACACCAGGGGCAGATTCAGGAGTTTTTCGGGGGGGGGGGGGTATTATGTTGAGTTTGCCATTCGCCAAGTGTTTATTATAAGCTGACATATAGAACACAACCCTAACTCTTTTTTAGATAAATATTTAGAAGTCGCCAATACCTTATACTGTACAGTATATTGAAAGAGAAAAAACTAATAACTATTTTATGGCGTTTTCGTCGGAAATTTATATTTTTCGAGTATTTCAACCGATAAAATTACCAACAATATTATTTGTTCAAAGTGGACAGTAAGCAGAGCTTACACTTGGTGCCATCACTTTTACTTTTACTTTTTCGCCATTGATCGCCAGGACGGTCAATCACGTCTCTGTTAAGCGCTGCTGGCAAGCATGAACTGGCTCCTGAATGTATCGGAACCAGCTGCTTCAGTGTTGGTCAAGTCTGGCTGGGTGTTGCAAGAGTTTATAATAATCACATTGAAAAAGTTTGCCTTCCTAATTTTCTGGACTTGTGGCTTCTTCAACCTTGAGCTTTGACCCATTTGTACCAGGAACGTCTACATTAACTCATAAATACGACGGAGTTCAAATGCACGTCATACGATTTGCTTGATAGTGCAATCATTCAACGGTGGAAAATCGTATTACGGAGATTATAATTACCAGTTGCCACTATTACAATTACCATAAAAGTTCCCCCACAAACCACAATTTCATTCATTAACGGCAAATTATATTTGTCTTATTAATGTACTTCGTTCATTATTACTATGAAACGACATAACAAAACAAATAAAATAAAATTCCAGCAGCCACTTGTGTTGCTTTAAGCGCGTAGTCTAATATACTGTAGTTTTCTAGCCACCAACAAATAAGAATTAAGAATAAGATTTCCATTACAAGCTAATTACCATGTTGTAACTTTTCCTCGCTGACTATTGTCACCTTAAAATGTACAATATTAGATGCGATCTAACTATACATCATACATACAATACGAAGACTAATGACCGATACTATCCGATCGTCTATCTCTTACGGTCACACTATACTATCCCACTCCTGCTTATCTAATCATACTTGTTCAAGTCAGTAGTTTGCTCCTCAAGTTTCAGAAGCAGTAAATATTTTTGGCTGGACGTTGATATCCCAACCAGGCAGGCAGCCCGGCAGGTGAGCTCACCCCACCTAACGAGTACTTTGTATGCGACACAGCGTCTCGGGTTGCCCACCCACAAGTCACTCCTTTGTTTATCAAGTTTTAATAAATATACACTGGGATTTTTATCCATCTTCCACGTAAGATACTTCCCTTTTTTTATTTTTACAAATGAGGACCTGTCACTTTTTTCATTAGTTTTTAATTTCAGGATATAATAATAGCCTTAAGGTTGGTCGAGTCAAATGGTAACAACACGTTCATTAAGTTTCATCTTGTTCAGTAATAGATCGTACAAATCCTCCAACCAATGTCTGGAGAACACAACAATGAAACGTAATGAATTATAATGATACATGCCATCAGTAATATGAAGGATACAAACGTATTCTTAATTAAAAAGCTGGTGAAAGTAAAATGTCACAGTTCAAGAGAAAAGGGTTTTTTCCATTACACACAAGTAAAATCACCTGACTAAGCACGTAAGCCAGTTAAAAAGTCGCAATTGCAGCTGAAATTATCAGTACCCTACGGCATAAACTCTGCAAAATTATCCAATAATCTGATGACTATTGCTTCCATTAAGATCACCTAAATTATCCTAAATGTTTCAATTTCCAACATCAACACAAACATGGATCCCGGCAGAGACTTCTATGCTCGTCTAAATATGGTCGCCATGTTAAACTCATTTTACTTTAACGAACCCAAGTTATTTCTTAGAAAGCAAAATAAATTTGAATTTTCGAGAAATACTGAGATGGATAAAGAGTGCGTCAATTATCCGAGAACAATAATGATAAACTAATAAACCTAAATAAAAAAAGTCAGACGACGTTCACCTGTGCAAATGTTGTTTCTTTGTGTTATTCCTTTCTTCAGATTATCCTTCAACTATCCTTCATTGATTACATTGATTACTAACCAAACAAAAAACGCTAGATGTATATCTTACCATTTTGTATAACCTACGTTGTAGTTATAATCCGATAAAAAGTCAGTCATTCATCTCACACACCTTTCCTCACTCGACCTTAATGGACACTGACTCACAGATTGCGTTTGGGTCTCTCTCGTTTTCTAAGAATAAGGTGAGAGAAAACGATTCGTAAAATGGCAAACTAATGTAAGACTCTCTGTTACTCACTGTTGGTATGTACTGCCTCCAGAATGTATCTGTACCTGCGCCACTGTTGATCAAATCTGGTCTTGCCAACATTGTGTGCCAGAGACTTGACCGACCGCCCATGCTGTTAATGAGCCGATCAGTGGCGAAGAGGATAAAAATAACAGTAAAATAAAGTTACGCAAAGTCGAAATTAATAACACGAGTGATCGTATCAAATCTGAGGCTTGAAGATGGTAGTTACGCAGACTCAGATCAGGACAAGATGGAGGCGTTAAATACTTTTCCTCAGTGTTCATAAGAGAGGATGTGAATAATCTCCCTGGGTTTGAGGAAAGACGATTTAACACAGCACTGACGCACATTATGTTCTCAGAAGAGTGTTTAATTTTTTTTTTGTCAAAACTGAAGGTTCTTAAGAGCCCGGGCCCTAACAGCGTGCATCCTTGAGCGCTAAAGAGAGTTGTGCAATGAGCTTGCCGAGTCCCTTGAAATCCTGTTCTGCAGATGCCTGGATATGCATATGGTCCCCAGTGACTGGAAAATGGATTATGTAAGTGCAATATTCAGCGAGATCGCCACTCCACGAATAATTATAGACCAGTGAGCTTGACCAGTATAGTGTGTAAAACACTAGAGAGCATTATTAGAGATGCCGTGATGGAACTTTTAACAACTTTTTAAAGGAATGCCAACATGGTTTCATGCAGGGACGCTCCTACTTGACGTAATTGCTTAAGGTGCTGGAGACTCAGGTCCTGGGGCCGTACAACGAACAATCTTTACCATCGCAGTGTACTAAATATCGAACAAGATTATCATTTATCAATTAGGCACCTCCTGTGTCATTGTCAAAGTTACACTATAGCGAGGAGGCGCCACCAAGCCGTCGCCCAAGGGCCAAAATACCATTCACCGACGCGCTGATAAGATACCTTAGAGAGACCCAACTCTTCGACAAAATGTGATTTGACAGTTGTGAGAGATTTCTTATTATGTCTGTATATAAATGGTATGTATTCAAAGTCCTTTTTAACTGTATATGTCTGCATATACGTATGTTTATGTGTACTGTACAGTATAGTGCAGTACAGTACATGTATATAGCTGTGGGTTGCATTTCTATATATATGCATGTGTATGAGAGTATACCGTATGTACAGTATATGCGGTTTTTACTACTATTCAGAGAAACAATAAAATACACATGCTGAAGAGGATAAGTATAAACTGTGCTCACTAAAATGATGAATTGTGTTCACTAAGATAGTGATCTCTGCTGTCTAAACTAGCTAGTTGTATTGACTAAGATGCTGATTAAGATAATGAAGTTGTATTAACTATGACAGCGAGTGTTAATGATCTAATTTTACTTCCTGCATCAACTTATGAGTATACTGTACATTAATCCTCAAAATAAACGTCTATCTGTCATATTTGCTATACGCTTTTAGATTACACGATGGGCGTTATTTATCCACCCTAGTCGATATGATGTCATCTGATCAGTGACGTAAAAGTATTCGCTCATTGGACCAAGTGTGAGCTGTATGCCAATCAGCAGGTGCGGCTGTGGTACGGTAGAGATATTGGGACGATCCATTCATGGTGTGTTGGTGTCTGGTGTGGACTGACCCGCTTATACCTAACTGCTATTCTGAGTTGGTGATATACAGTCACGTTTGAGGGAGACGACATGGAGAAGTCAGAGGAAATTGGTCTTACTACATTCAATCCATCTCTTGATGTTACGCCTGTAGAAAGTGACGTGGTTACATTAGAAGAACGTGAAGACAATACTCCCGAAGTTTGTGACGTTAGTTCACCCGAAGAATGTGACGTTAAAGAACCTGGTATAAGTGACATTAATGCACCCGGAGTAAGTGACGATAATGCACCCAAAGAATGTGACGTAAGCACTTCCGACGGATACAGTGCAGTTGAAACTAAGGGAAATTACATAACGAGCCCCAACACGATTAATTGTCCCGAGAAATGCGACACTGATGTACCCAACGAAAGTGTAGAATCGGGTGTTGATATCGTCCATGAGTCCGGTCAACAAGGAGGCAGGACAGACGCTGCTGAAAATCCCAAGACTGACATCACTGCTACAGGCGCCAACTGTGTACCGGGAAAAACCTCCCTGACGGTTTGTTATGTTTCTACAATTGTCAAAGAACTAACTATTGCTTTCATTGACGTGTTTGAAGTACTTAGAACTTATTAGAAAAATATAAGTTGACTTACTTTCAACAAAATAAAAGTAGATGTCGCGTGGGTATAAACTCAACTAAATGCTCTCGTTCCCTTTGTTAAAATATTCAGATTATCTTTTCACACTCGCTTGAATTCCTTGGGTCAACATCCCTACCAAGTTTCAACAAAATTCTTCCTTCCTTTCAAGAATTAAAGTTAAATGAAGGCCAGGCCACGGACACAGACGAGACGAGACGAGACGAGACGAGACGAGACGAGACGGGTCAAGACAAGACGAGACAAGACGAGACGAGACAAGACGAGACGAAACGGAGATGCCTAAGTTTCCATAACATCTAATTCAAGTTTCATCAGAATCACTCTAATCGTCTAATGCTTCTTAAGATATTTTTACATTCATACACACACATTTTTACGAACCAAAGTCAGTAAAATTTCATAAACATGGTCACTATACAGACTTCAATCATCTCTAGTGGTCAGGTTAACCAAGAGTACACACAGCACGACTTCCATTAATACTTGCAATTTATCTTATCAGGATTTTTCATTGTCATACCGTGGGCGTCAATTGTGGGAGGGTCTCGTGGGAGGGAGGGTTCGATGGGAGGGAGGGTGACGTTGGAGGGAGGGTTGGGTGGAGGACTGGATGGGAGGGAGGGTCACTTGGGAGGGTTGGATGAGAGGAGGTGACCTGGGAGGAGGGTCACTTGGGAGGTGGATGGGAGGAGGGTGACGGAGGGAGGGTCGGGTGGAGGACTGGATGGGGGAGGGTCACTTGGGAGGGTTGGATGGGAGGGAAGGTGGTAGAAATAGTTATTTTTTATATTTTCTAGTGTGTGTGTGTGTGTGTGTGTGTGTGTGTGTGTGTGTGTGTGTGTGTCACCCCTTGCTAGCACCCAAGACTAGTGGTTCACCTAAGGCTAGTGGTTCACCCAAGGCTAGTGGTTCACCCCAGGCTAGTGGTTCACCCAAGGCCAGTGGTTCACCCAAGGCTAGTGGTTCACCCCAGGCTAGCGGTTCACCCAAGGCCAGTGGTTCACCCAAGGCCAGTGGTTCACCCAAGGCTAGTGGTTCACCCCAGGCTAGCGGTTCACCCAAGGCTAGAGGTTCACCCAAGGAGGCTAGTTAACCTTGGGGTAGTAGTGTGGTGGGAGCAATGAAGGACTGGACAATAATGGCCCACAGTAACAGATAAGAGAGGGAGTTGGTGATAAGATGTCTGGCCCTGCGCTTTTCACCACAGATAGATAGATAGATAGATAGATAGATAGATAGATAGATAGATAGATATTAAATCAGTAAAAATGTCATATATGTTTACACTTGGTTCGGTATGTGTGTGTAGATAATGCATATACAGTACTGATAGTCACGAGAAAATTGCCAGAGATCTACCGAAATATTTGTTTACGTCAACTAGGTTCAAAATGAATAGTACGTAATAGTCCCTTCAGTTACTCTTAGTCTGTGAAAAATAATGAAAGTTTTTAATTTATTATCTTCTCGTGTGTTAATGAAGGGAGGATTTATTTGAAAAGCATGCTGTCTCTTTATTTTCAATTGTTGATGGATTAGTGTAATTACTAACCTTGTTATTAATGACCTTAGTTGTTGAAACGCGGAAATAACAATATAAGAACAATAACATGGTCATGTAAGTAATGAAGAAGGGACAAAATTGAGGGAAGGAGAGGTAGAAGAAGACGGAGACACATATGCCAAATCTGGGGAAACTACACTAGTAGACACAGCTGGGAAACTTTTAGAGTGGGGGGCCGTGGTCACCAACCCTCAGCTGTGACGATGTCACTTTTGATTGATTGATTATATTTATAAAACGTAACATAACTTACGTATACAGTTATGTTTTACATGGAGTTTAACTGACAAATTATGATCATAATTTAAGTCAAGTCCTGATTCCTTTCACAGTATCTGATTTAAACGTTAATTACTGAACGTACTTATATCCTTGTATGATGGGGTAATACACGTTTTTTTTATCATTTCACCATCAGCTCACAAGCCGTTCGCGCAGTTGGTCTGATCTTTGCTACTTTGTTATGATCTTTTTTGCCCAGTGTTAGTACAGGAGGAAGCCTGAGATGTTTGATAGGGTATACTGTATAATAATACCCTATGTTAAATTTCTTTGGATCCTATACCACATGATATTTGATGCCTGTGACACATGATCGTCTTGCCTTCTCACGTCTGTCCCGGGTCAGACTTTACCGGGACATTGGTGAGAGATACACGTGTTACACCTGTAGTGCCACCAACACCATATTCTAGTCATGACTTATGGTTGGAATTTAATTTATAAATTTTAGTTTCCTTTCATCTATTCTTGACTAATCAGTACTCACTCGTTGATTGGATTTCAACTTATAAAACCCATTTCTAATTACGTCCATAATGAGAGCTTTGATGGTACCGGTATTTTAACCTGTAAAATCTTACCTGGTATATATCTAGTCTGGACAAATTCTAAAATAGCTATGCTAGGCCTCACCATTTCCTTTAATATGTCATGGAAGCAACACATACACAACACTGCTAAAGCTGCCTCCCGAAAGCTGGGAATGCTGTACAGATGCCATAGCTACTTCACTCCTGAGCAGTTGCCTCAAATTTATAAGGGATTCATTAGTCCTAACTTAGAGTACTGCTCTCATATCTGGGGTGGCTCTTCTTCTGTCCAACTGTTAGATAAGGTGGAATCAAAGGCATTTCGTCTTATTAACTCTCCTCCTTTAGTAGATAATCCTTCTTCCCTTTCTCTTCACCGCAATGATACTTCACTCTCTCTCTTTTATAGGTACTAACCGGGCAATGTTCGGTGGATTTGGCATCCTGTGTACCGCCGGCAAGGCTGTGGACTCGTAACTCGTTCTGCCCGTGGTGCCCACCGCTTCTCTTTGGATGTCGGTTACACTAGAATAACCCGTTATAGTACATCCTTCTTTCCTCACACAGCCAAACTGTGGAATGCTCTGCCTTCTTCTGTGTTTCCATACTCATACAATCTGTCTCACTTCAAAAGATGGTTTTCCGGCATCTTCGTGTAGATTAATGTAATCTTTTTCTTTTCTATTTTTAATTTCTTTTTACACTTATTTTTTCGCCCTCTGGGCCCCGTTGTGGGTCGATGACCTGTGCCCGGGTGGGCTATGCTCCGTAAAAAAGCAAACACGAAAAAAAATCATAACTATTTCGGATATTTGTGTTCAGTAATAGCCAACAGTTTGGTGAAAGGAATCGTCAAAGTAAGTTGGAGTAGCCTTGGAAAATGAAGTTTTAGACTGAAGATAGTGATGATCGCATATGTCAGATTTCAACAAAGGATGCTGTTATTGCGGGTGTTAAACTCTACCATCCGCGCGGATGCTGATGTCTATGGGAATATCTATAAGCGTAATAATATGCTAATTTAAATTCATATTTAATTCAATAATTGACTTTTGATTATAAATATTAGGTATCCATTTAAAACTGGCCCATTTTCTCACAAATTAATTCATATTATTATTTTGTAATACTCACTTACATGCACTCTTCTCTTCTGGACGAATTACCATCACACGACTGTGCTTACAGGATGCTGGACGAGGGGAAGGGGTAACTCGTCTTGCACCCCACTGTCCACTTTCCCTACCTTCCACCTTTTGGAAAGGAGTGAGCTTGTGAAGAACCAGTAAAAGTTGCACAAGCTTCAGTTTTTTAATTGAATGAGTGACAAATTATACTTCTGCCTTGTTTCTTTTCAGTCGATTTTGTCTTTCATCAAAAATAAAAAATGAAAAGAAACAAACTTAAAAACGGGCGCCACAACGGCAGCAAGACGGAGTGTGTCGTTACTGTTGTATATCAGTGGGATCTTTTCACTTTTTACTTTTATCCTCTTCACCACTGATCGGCTCGTTAGCCGCTTGGGCCATCGGTCACGTCTCTGTGACGCACTGTTGGCAAGAACTGGGCATGCACCTGCTCCTGAATGTACCTGAACCTGCTCCAGTGTTGGTCAAGTCTTGTCTTGAAAGAGCTCACACTCGGTGCCGTCTTTTGTAATTCTGTTCATGAGAGTGATCAAAATCATGAGACAGTTTTGCTTCAACATTCAACAATATATCGAAGTAGAGCGTTGTAATTCACGTGTTTCACCAACATAATACTCCATAAACAATACCCATCCCCAACATCATTTCCCGCAGGTGCAGACGCTCCGAGGATGCGGATGTGACTTACATCACTAATTCAAGAGTAACATCATTGTCATATTTATTGAAAAGTGTATCTGTCTAGTAAGTACCATAAGTGTGATACATGGTAAGTGAAACCAATTAATGAAACCAAGAGTCCCAGTTATTCGTTGAAGCCGGAGGTAACACACAGAAGAGACAGGATAAGAGATGAATGGCTGAGAGAGAGAGAGAGAGAGAGAGAGAGAGAGAGAGAGAGAGAGAGAGACTGTAATAATATAGTAAGGGTAAGGAGGTGGTGTGGCAACGAGTAGGTCAATGATGAGAGCCTGGACTGGACCCCGACGCGATAGGATGCGATCAACTACGACGTTGATAGACGAAATATACGCGAGACTCATCCGTTTATATCTGTGCGTATAAAGTTACACAGACAGACAGACAGACACAAACACACACATAAGTGATTGGGATAAACAATAGTCCAGAATAAACTAGCTCAGATACGTTCATGTGCACTCAGCCTTCACTCTCACACACACACCCCTGCACCATGACTCAGCACCATCACCCACCCCCCCTCTACGCCCACTCACCACTCTCACATATGACTACGTTAATATTTATTTAATTTATTTAACCTACGAGAGACACATAATTGAAAAACACTGAGATGTTAGCCTTAAAATAATCGTCCTATCATTCCAGATATAAGGAGCAAAATAAC